TCGAATGTAATATAGCAAACAAAAACATGTGACTCTAAAGTTAGATGTCTACCAAAAGCAAATGAAAGCTATACTGGAGAGAGGTGGCCTTTAATAAGAACATCTAGACCACAGAAGAAAAAAATCGAATAATTCTAAAATCTAAAAACATTATAATGAAGCAAAAGAGCAAAAATTACAAAATATATTTACAATTTATACTGCATAAAGAGGTCAGAAGCAGTGTCAGTTAAGTCAGTTCAGGAGAACGTAGTTAATGTGAACTTAATTCAGGAGATGGTGATAAGGAATGCAGCGTTGTCCTGGTAAGTAACTCAACAACATACTGTTCGCCCTCAGGTTCTAGGCCAAGTCAATGTAAACAGCTTCCAAACATGTTACTAAAAAGGCTCTGACCATGTGAATTAGTTCAGATTGAGAAATGAAACTGGGCACAGCATGTGCTGCTTTTAACAGAGTTTGAGCACATAAAACCCTAAAACGAACACCAAATATTTCACAATGAAAACTAAAATTAGTGTACTAAAAAGTACAAGTTCTACCAGTAGAATTCTAAAATGTAAAAGTTCTACCAGTAGAAGTTCTACCCATACTCTTAAAATATTAGATCTCAACCAGTAAAAGATCTACAAGCACACTTCTAATATATTGGAGCTCAAGCAGTAAAAGTTCCACTAGTAGACATCTGCAGTGTAAATGTTCTACTAGTATAAAGGTAGACTTCTCTATTTCTGAAGTTCTACCAGTAAGTTCCACTAGTAAACTTCTAAAATAGAAAAGTTCTACCATTAAAAAGTTCCACTAGTAGACTTCTAAAACAGAAAAGTTCAACCAGTAAAAGTTCCACTAGTAGACTTCTAAAACAGAAAAGTTCAACCAGTAAAAGTTCCACTAGTAGACTTCTAAAACAGAAAAGTTCAACCAGTAAAAGTTCCACTAGTAGACTTCTAAAATAGAACATTTTACCATGAAAAGTTAGACTTAGACTTCCAAAATGTGAACATTCTACTAATGAGCTCCTAAAAAATACCAGCAAAAGTTCTACCAGTAGACTTCTATAGGTTATTGGCTTTATTTATATGTAGGTTTTACTAGTAGGCTCTCAAAATGTAAAAGTTCCTATTCCCAGTCCAAACCAAAATATTCTGATCCCATGTAAGTGTGTAAGACTAAAGGAGCAAGAGTATGTGCTGGGAACAAAGACTGAAGGAGATCTTATGTGGGCTGTGATGGGAAAGACACACAGCAAGTAGAGTTTAAGAAAAGAGCCAGAAGAAGGGCAGTGAAGGCAGTAGTTAAGGGGTAAGCAAACAAATGAACGTTTGGGAAGCTGAAAGGAATGATGCTGTGTTTTTCAACATTATCTCTATTGGGCTGCACTGGCTTCTGTGATGGGTATGTTTCAAATCAACAGGTTTTCTATTCTTTTACTAAACACAGGGAAACATTCATTATTGTCCATTGGAGCTTATAGCGCTGACACAGGCTCCAGTGATCCAGGAGGAGAAGCGGCTTACATGATGAATGAGTAAGCGAGTAATGAAGCTTATGGTACAGATGCGGCAGGTGGACATTAGTTTGGAAAAAGCTGGAGTACTCCTTTAAAACAGGAAAACAGTTGGTGGTCAGGGGAGAACTGAAGGGTGTAGGGGTAGAGGGTAGGGAGTATGGACTTTAGCTGTGTGCATTAGGGTGTAAGGTGGTCTAGGCTGCTTCAGAAGAGGAAGGAGAAAGGGCTGTCCCTGTGCCCATGGCTGTCCAGGGAGAAGGAGGGGATAGCCACATCGAACATGTCACCATTGGCCCTCTGGCAGGTAAACGTCCCCCTAGGGAAGGTGGAAACAACCAATCAGCAGCCACAAAGGCAGTGGGAAATGGGACAAAGGCAGATCATTGCCAGCAAGCGCTCATACTCTGCCTCCTGCCTCAGTCACGAGGCAGTCAAGAGTGTATATTAGGAATGTAAAAATAAACTGATACAAGGAAGGAAAATAGATTGTAACAGTGTAGAAGTATATTTGCATATTTTTCGACCCAAATAAAATCCTTGGGCTATTTTTAAAAATAAAATTCATTGTTTTTACTGTATAAATAATTCATCTAGTCATGTTTGTATAAATAATTCTGGTGCTACATTACAGAAATGTCCAATATTCAGTAAGACAAATTCAAGATAACATTTTTCTCAGGTTTGTATTTAAGAAGCACATTTTGTCTTAATTTAGGAATTATATGTTCAGTTATCAATTAGGTTTGCTACTAAACAATTGCTTAGATGTGAATGCATTGAAGTAACAAACAAAAATGGAAGTTATAGTTACAGCAACTAACATATGAACACAGTAACGTAGGAAAGACTAAAACTGTGAGATGAACTACAAGGTTTAGTAACCTCAGTACATGATCTTAAATCTGCAGATACTGACCTTCTGCAAATACCTTCCATAAAATACAGAAAATGTGGAGAGACTCTTTCAGTTGTTCTGCTTCTAAACTGTGGAACTCAATTCACCTTTTTATTAGATGGTCAAGCTCAGTGCTCACTTTTAGGAAACATTTAAAAACATCTCTCTCAAACTTAGTATTTAATTAAAACTCTGTCTCTCGGTATTTATCTTTTAATTTGATCTGTCATTTTCCTATATGACTTTAAATGAGTACTCCTAAGTTCCTGTATTAACTGTTAAGCTTTATCACCTTTCTATAAAGCTCTTTGAGCTGCCACTGGCATAAAAAGTGCTATAAATAGACATTATTATTATTATTATTATTATTATCTGTAGTTAATACTAGTGAACTTGTTAACCTTCCCTTATCATTCGAAAAGCTAACTGCAGATACAGAAGCTTAAAACAGAAGTCAAGACACCACTGGGGTTGCTGAAGTTAGGACAGTATTTAGTATTTAGCTCCTGTAAAGCTCTTTTCCTAACTGGAAACATGAAATTATGAACTTTTATTTTATAATAGCTACCATCATTTAAATCCCATTTATCATCTGCTTTGCTTTGACTTTGTGCAAGTGGATTGTTTTATATCTAATTTCTCAAAAATGATCTAATTTGTACTTAATGGTTTGGACAAGTTTGAATTGAAAAATAAATGATGGGTGGTCTCTGACTTTTACTGTACTGTGCAAATCTGTAAAATTGCATAGGTTTGTGTCTAAGTGTACAATGGAATGCATATTTATACAACAGACTTCTCACATTTTTCAAAAAAAATACCCAATTTTATTATTTCCAAACTGCCAGATGATTGTACTGATACAAACCCTTCATAACTCAAACGGTTACAGTCAGCACTTCAACACCATTAAACAGCTCTAAAGAACTTCCACAAACCAACAGAACAAGCAGAAATGTGAGAGCAAGAGGCATAAATTACAAAATCTATAGACAAAAACCCAGAGAAGGGCTGATATAGTTAAACAATCTTGATTGCCTGTAAAGTGATGTGACAAAGAAATTTAGATGGAATAAGTGAACAGTACAGAATCACTACAGTTTCTGGTTGTATATGCAGCAGATTCTATAACAAGTACTGTGGTATACAGGAGCATGTGATGTATAGTACCTGTACTTGAGTTACACGACTTGAAGACATACTGAAACATCAAATAATCAACCTACAAACTCAAAGAGCCTGAATCTCTGAGAACAAGCAGACCTGGCTTCCTTTCTTCTATATTCGTTGCTTCTCTTTATATTCTGATATTGTCTGATATTGAAATAATATAATAATAACAATAATACCGGGCTGATAATTACAACCCATAATTTAGCACCTTATTTCTAACTTTCACACACCGTGATGCATGTGTGGTCACTAGTGGTGGGAATTTTCCTTCTTTTTTAGTCAGACAAATGGACAGCATAGTGGATAAAGCTTCAGACACATACGTGACACTAGGGTTCAGTTCCCCATCCTGGCAAGTACAACAGCAGGCTTTTTCAACGGATGGCGCAAGTAGCCAGTTGTATAGAAGTGAGGAGTTGAAAAGTCAACTGCCAAGCTGGGCAGTGTTACCAGTTGCAACCCATCCAAGGTGGATCTTACAACATTCACAGACAAAATGTTTCTCCAGGCTTTTATAAAGTACATATATGAGGATAATTGCCAGAAACACTGCACAATTTAAGAATCTAAGTTCTGTTTTCAATACATCCTCTGAGTAATGATGGGCCTACTTACAGTCAAATGCAAAAGTTTGAATCCTGCTGGTCAAATTTCACGTATGTGATAAGTTAACACATCCTCTACGGACCCTTAACTTTGGCATTTTCCGCACAATTTCTATGTATTTGCTGAGTTTAACATATTAGGGGAAAAATTAAACATATAAAATATGATTTTGCACAGGATACATTTTTCATTTTTTCCCCCCCAAACACACACGTTAAACTGAACAAATAAGCATTACTTGTACACAAGTGTGCTCTCTGTAGAGGATGTAATGTGACGAGGGGGCCCAACCTTTTGCATATGACTGTATGAATTCATTCCCAACAAACTGCATTTTCCCATGCATTTTCATTTTGATAAACATGACAAGACGAATGAGCAGAGATGGTGCCATTATGGCGCATGACATTATCATCACACATGGAATAAAAGCTAAACATGATTATGAGGTGAAGATTTTAGAATGAACAAGAACAAATGTCATGGCTGTCAGCGGGCAACTATTAGTCCAATGAGGACAAAGTTCTGTCGTTATCAATCCATCTCACAGTCTGTGGACAGCAAGATTAGAATGGCCTGTCATCATGACATGCTGGTGGGCCAACGTAAGTTAAACAAATGTAACTGGCAGGCACTGTAATAATATGTCCTTGAACATAATTCCTGGTGGCACATTCACTTACTGCTGTGAATGGCTTTAGGTAAATTATGGAAAATATTGACATTAAATAGTGTAAAAGTTCATAATAATTCTGAAAAACGGTCTGATTTAGCCATGTTGTGTTGTGAACTATAGTATGAACTTATTTCAAAATGTAAATTTACTGATATCGTAATCAGCCACAACTGTCAGTTATCAGAAGTTCTGTATCGTCACATTCCTACTTTACATTACATTTAATGTTCACAACAGCGTTTAAATTCCCAGTGATTTATTAAAAAATGTGTAGTGCTGGGGCAAACAGCACAACATTGTGGTACAGAAATTATTATTACCACAATAAATAATTCATTTTATCTTGTATTGAGAACATTGTGTTAAATTCTGAGCCCTGAGAACTGTTCACTGCCAAGACTGTATTACTCAGCCCTGCTGCACAATAACAGATGAGCGAAATACTTCATTTTGCAAGCCATAATCAGCGTTCACAACAAATCTACTCACAGCAATAATTTAGTGTCTGCATACAGTGTTTCACAGTGTTATGCTGTTCAGAACACATATTGTGATAGCCTTGAACTATCGTGGCACACATTTTGCCCATCCTGGCTTCAGTCACTCAAGTAATTAGTGCTTAAATCTTCTTACTTTCACAGAGAAGCTCTAACAGACTTACACATGAAACCTGATACACTTCTGAGGGTGCTAAAACATACACCGATATTTGGAAGTAAATCCTAAATTAGCACTTCCAACCATGCACATATACACAAACACACTATATTCTTGCCAACAAGGACTTGCATTCTCCCATGCCATTAAACAGGGGGGTTACAGTTGTCAAAAACTACCCCCCGTTAATGTATGAGACCTCAAGGCAAGTGCTTACAAACATTAACTCGCATTAAACAGGTCATCCAGTCAAAACTGGAGAGAAGCACAATCCTGCATTCCATAATTCTCCAATTTCTGTTTCACTAGCAAAACCTCACAGGGCACAAGTGCTAGAACCTTCATCTAGCACAGCAGTCTACAATTGTGGATCCTAAACCCAGTTTTTGGCACTGAATTTTATAATCACAGGGATGAACTGAACTGTTGATGAACCACTGGTGACCCAGCGACACGCCTACTACTGATTACAAAACTCAGGACCGGAAACTGGACTCGAGCTCTTAATCCGAAGAGGTTCCTCCAGGTTCTTCTTTGAGTTTTATGTATCTGAATTGTTCCTGGACATTGTTTTACTTGGCGTTCTACATTCCTCGTGTGCTCTAGCTAAAGAGCTCATTTATACTGTGTCAATTTGGGGTAGGTCATCTAGAAGAGGGGTGCCTAATCGTGGTCCTGGAGAAATACCACCCTGAAGAGCTGAGGTCCAGCACACCTGGCTTTAATACTCAGATGTCTCTGAAGGCCTTCGTTACCAGGTGTGATCAGGTGTGTTAGATTATCACTGGAACTGAACCCTGCAGGTGGTAGATCTCCAGGTCCAGGTTATGGTGCCCTGATCTAGACTCAAAGTGCGGGTAAGTGTTCAGAGTCCAGTGACAAACAGGTAAGAGTAGGCAGACATTGTTATTCACATTTAGGACTATTATAAATGCATTACCCCAAAAATGCTAACATGGTTAACAATCAATGGACGTTAGTGAAGCTGCACCTCCATGTACTTCAAGCTTATGATTTCTTATAATGTTTTGCCGCCGGGCAGTGGGGTATGACATGGTTACAAATCCACAATCACGCATTTTACTGCCATGTCTACTGCCAAGTGAGCCGTATCGTGTCTGAGCACCTGTGCTGATATGGGTTACCCTTCTAGCAAGGGTACCAAAAGTGCCAAGCAGGACTGTACAGGTGGAGTTAGTAATGGTGCAAACCACTGATTAGTCAAATGCAATTGTCAGTTAATCGTCACAAGGTGTCACTTCAGTCAGATGACCCCATTAGGTGGAAAACAACAACAACCACAACAACAACAACAAAAACCTAGCTTGCCAGAATAGCTGTCTGTGACTCCCAAAAAAAAAATGCTGCTCAAATGCTAAATCAGAACTTGTCTACATTTACTGCTAACATTTGATTTCGTGAGAAATCGTGTGACCACATAAGCTAAAAAGACAGTTTTCAGGTTTGTTATGCAATGGGAAACAGAAGGGTACAGACAGTTCTGAGTTCAAATGCGTGCCCGTACTGTGCCTGACTATACTTCCCGGTAGATAAACGGCATTAGAGTAATGGTGCATTTCTAACATCTATAAGATCTTCATAAATAATTACATTAAAAATTAGGCTGAGAAAACTGACCATAGAGCAGCACTCACTGCTTTAAGAGGTCTGATGTATACAGCTTATGCAGCTAATGTAGCTTTTGTATTGAAAATATATGACTTGTTCAGAACTAAACTTCACCCAAGTCTGTAACCCCTGGTCTATCTGGGTAGTTTAAGGTTTGACAAGTGAGGTAGGTTGGGGGTAATAAAAGACAGCATTATTTGGTGAGTCAGCGGGTCAGAAAAGTATTTATACACAACAGAGAGAATAACAGGACATGTAAGTGCTTGGCTAGTTTGCTTTGGATAATATTATGAAATGAGGGCTCAGAATGAAATGTATTAGCTGCCTGGATTTGGAGGAAAGAAAGGTGTAGAACTTAGGGACGCACAGACATTTCAGTCACTGACAATTCTCGGCCAAAAACGGTCAAAAGAAAGAAAAACCAAAAAAATTAAATAGGTCTACAATAAAGTGTCAAAATCAAACACTTAACACATTCAAAATATAGACTTCAGCTTACATGCTTTTTAGCATTAGCTAATTTGATAAAAAAAAATTAATGATGATTTTGGTAATTTACTTCTTACCTTGTTTTTACAGTTGTTACTGCAAGCACAAGTGTTTGTCAGATTCTGCTGAGGTTTATGGCTGTTTCTTCTATAAACTACTACACACACATGTGAATTGTGTGTATTTATAGCACCTCCTGCTGGAGAAACGTTAGAATGCCAGGCAGGAATTCTTTACATATTAAAAACGAGGTGTTTCTGTCATCATAGCGGAAGTGCTCTGGTACTCAGTCAAGTATTACATTCATCATTTTACAATTTTTTATATCTAATATTACTTAGCAAGCTGTTGAAAACTTAACTACTCTCATTCTTCCAGTTCTCTTTATCGACAGCGCCATTCTTGCATTTGAAGCATTATGTTAATTCAAAAACATAAATATTCTATTTAACAATTATACACAAAATAATTATTTCTTTCAGTTTTCGTTTTTTTGGCCGAGTGCGTCCCGAATTTCAATTTTAGTCAAGAATTTCGTTGCATCACTGGTAGAAAGAAATAAAACTGATCTGGGTGGTGCCTCAAGGTTGCTTTAGGGCTTGTAGGTTAAAACAAACAGAATGAAATGTAGGATAAACAGAGAAAAATAAGTGCTAAGCAAGGTAAAGGTGATAGTAGAGAGAGTGGGGGTTTTGGGACAGCAGTGACAATAGAGACACAAAAGTACTTGACAGGGCTGCACAATACATCACATTTACCACTAAATTTTATCACAATATTTTATCATGATATGAGCTTTCGCAATGTTGATATTGCCAAAGCTTGCTAAATGCAAATGAGTCTCTAACTAGTCACTAAAAGCTTTTTTGCAGTGTTTCGACCAAGTCCTTAGGGCCCACCTGACGGTTCCACACTTTTGCTCTATTCCAGAGCCCAACATAGACGATAAGAGCAAAAATGTGGAACTGTCTGATGGGCCCTGAGGACTGGGTTCTTGTCCATACTGTGCAGCCCTAGAACTTAGTTGCAGGAAAAGTGAGAAAGATCAATGACTCTGAGGTAGCTTGAGAGTAGATGCATGCTGGGGCAAGGCTGGGGATGGCATGGCATGGCAGGGGGCAGACTGGGGCTCAGGGCTCTGGGCTCAGGGCTCTTAGGCCAGTGAGGTGAAGGGGCCAGGCAGGAAGCCGTTGGGAGTATCGTCCTTCTTGCTCTCGAGAGAGAAGGGAGGGATGCGCACGTCGAAGAATGTGCCGCTGGGCCTCTCGAGCCTGTAGGAGCCCCTGCATGGGGTCAGAGACACAAGGAGACGCACCGTCAGAGACCCAGCGTCCCGGCCCCCACCAGCCCCCCGCTACTCACACAACAGTTCAAAAGTTTGGAATCACTGTTAAAAAGTTTGAAATCAATGTTGATAATAAAATTAAAGACCTTGACGATACATAAATACTACTATTGTAATATGTTATACTATTGTATAATACTACTGTATATAGTTAGTCCTGTGCAACTTCACAGGTTTCACATAATAACTACGAAGCTGCGCAACAAATTTGAGATGTGTCCAGAATGATGAACAGAGATGCTTCTAAATTAACTGAGAAAGCTTAATACCACTGAGAATGAAGTTATAATAAAAGTAATATCCAGAATGTCTCATATTTAAAAAATGGTGATCAATTTTTGAGGCGGATAACTTAATTATTATAAAAATACTATATTAAATATTATTTAATAACTAGGAAACTGAATAATATATATTTATATATCAAATATACTGAATAAAACATCTAAACATGTCTTTATCTATTACTATATATAATATATTTCATATATTTGTGTTAATTATATATTTGTGGAACTATCAATCTAAAAAAAATTAATGTAACGTGGTACCAAACTTCTGAACAATGAAATGTAATATGGAATCACACAGTCATTAACCACCTCACCCCCCATATAGAAATGCAGAAATGTATTCATTCAAAAAATACACACATCAGATTTAAAACTGCCAAAACACACACAGTATAACAACAAAGACCCCTACCAACCATTATATACTACTGCAAATGTTGCATGTACGCAACAAAGACACAGCTACTGACAACAGAACCATACATGTATTGTGTGCAGTAATCTCATGAATGCTACACACAGAGATGCACACTATGTAATGCACAAAGAATTCCTGGATGGCCTGGTGACCCCTAAGCCACTCAGTGACTCCAAAAGCCAGGCACAAAACTGCCCTTTGCTCAATCCACATATTCTGCGATTGTGTGAAAATGACAGGTGGATTATATTCTAGCTAGAGTCAGTACTCAATGCCAAAGAACCTAAACATATGGGGTTGTTCTCCTGGACACACTGTTCTGAACGGTGATCCTCCACTGAAAGAAAAATGCAGCCCAGAACGAACCGCAATCCCTGTCTGGGAAACCGATCCATAGAATGCTTCTCACCCTATTAGTATTCCAGCTCATCACTACCCAGAGCAAGATTACTGAATAGCTCAGCAGTCAAGTTTTCAAATGTAAATTTCAAACGTCATCTACTGATAAAAGCAGATGGGGTATTTTCAGCATGGAAAAAATGGTGCTTGAACATGTGCTGATGTTTACTTTACCTTTCATAAAGAGCAAAGAAAGCTTTGAACACCTTTTCACATTGAAAGTAACGCAGACTCACTAAGATCACGTGTCAAACTCAAATCCTTGCCAAAACTCTGCAGCCTTCAGCATGGTGCCTCATTACACACGCCTGATTCAGCTCATCAGCTAATTAGCTGAGGCCTTCGAGAACTGAATTCATAGTGTTAGATGAGGGTAAACGCTAATCTTTGCAGCACTTTGGCCCAGAAAGTGCCCAGTTTGACATGCCTGACCTAAATACCTCAAGACATTTTCACAATACAAAGTTTGTATCACGGTATTTGGAACATGCACCAGCAAAACAGCAGTGCCACTTTAAGAAAAGGCTATGATAAACTGAGTACAGTGTCAGAGGCATGACTTTGCCATGGCAACCATGTTGACGACCCAGTTTAGCAACAGACAACGGCAGGCAGTCACCTCAAATGAATGATATACAGTCAAAATTGACACTCTTGATGGATGTTATGTCCGTCATCGCCACCATACTGCCGCAACAAACACGCAGCATACTGCTGACATTTTTTACAGCATCTTCTCCCTGAAGAAAACCTCGTATTTCCATTTTTATGGTTCTCTTTTTATACATATTTTAAAAATACCAGCTGCTGTACAAACTGTGTCATAATTTCATGACAAAAAGACCAACAGAAATGGGTCAAAATGATGTAAAATTTTGTAATTTTTTCCCCTTCAACTGTAAAGCTAAGCTTTTGGAGATTAGATGTTTTGTTCTGACAGTGATGATGTACATAACCAACTGGATTATTGATTGATTAATGTTTATGTGTATTTATTCTAGAGTTATATAGAGTTTTTATGAGTAAAGACACGCTGCATATCTACTGTGTGCGACAGTTTTAAACTTTCTTTGACCGACCCGAGACTTGAGAATTAACACATATACAGTAGCATGCAAATGTTTTGGCGCCCCTGGTCAAATGACATGTTTTTGTTGATTGTCTGAGTGAACACATCCTCTACAGAGAACACATCTCTGCACATTTTAATGCACAGTTACTGTTCATTTACTAAATTTAACATACTGGAATAAGGGAAAAGGAAAAAAACATAAAATGCGGTCTTGGCAAAAGTTATGGCTCATTTTATGTTTCATTTTCTGTCCTATATGTTCACCTGCATAAACTAATGGAAAGGGTGCACAAATATTTGCAGAAAAATGCCATTTTTAAGTTTGTTTAAGTGATGTTTTAACTTTTCACAAGCCTTGGATACAGTACACGACTCCTCCTAGTGGATTATAAAAAAAGACTGGGTATCTCACACTATCCGACTGGTTTCTGCAGGGTTTTGGGACGACTGAAATGTGTGATCCCAAGATCACCAAGATTACACAACTTTTAAGTTCTTGCTGAACCAAACCGAACTCACTTAACTTGCATGAACACGCGTGTTCCACCATTACTATTAGATGCAAGTAAACAAAAGTGAAGCTGCTGCTGCTTCTGTTTTTGTTGACACAGTAAAGAAACAACAAGTAAAGATATTTAAGTAAGGCTCAATGATGCATAGATGTGATTAGTGTGGCGTAGTGCGGTTTTCAGGGTTTTAGATGTACAAGTACTCAATTGTGCACCAGCCTTGAACTTGGGTCATTAAAAAGCACTACACACGTCTTTTCAACCAGTTTTTTCACTCGCTGTATGTTTTCTTTCACACTTTCAGTTTTCACTGGCTGTCGGAGGAATTCGTTCAGACTGAGTTGCTGACCAGTATACACAACTGGATCACGCTCCGATCTACCGACTTCAACCGACCCAAACCTGCAGACTAGAACCAACCAGCGTAGACTTAGCCAGACTGAGAATGGGGCTAAAATCCAGGTAAGTCTTATATTGTAACTTCAGCTTCAGAAAATCAACAAAACATGTAATTTGACTGAGGTTTTAAACTTTGCACACGACTGTATAGATGACTGAAATACAAATGAAAATAGTACCATAAGGACAGTTATTTTGTGTTTTATCATCACATTCTTTACAGCCTATGTTTGTTCAACCTGAGACACAGGTATCAACACTAACAGGTGTGTGAACGCTTGCATGTGACACTCACCACATGTGTCCGCTGGGGGCCTGCAGGGATACGTGACTGCTGTACTGGAACGCTGGCTGCTCTTTGGACAAAACTGGCTCCTGTCCGACACACAGAAGAATTTATGACTTAGACTTATTTACATTACTTGCAGCAAATCAAAATGTATGTGCAATCTGAATTCAAAGTTTTCATGAAGAATTCAGTGTATTAGAGAAACAAATGCATGCATGTTTTAATTATCTCGTTAAATACTTTTGCTTTCTTAACATTACACTGTTTATTTCTTAAGGTGGGGCACACTGAGAGCACAGTTCTGTGTGTGTGTGTTATATGATGACGGGGAAAGGTAGCTCTGAGAGAGCATAGCTGTGCTCTACATGCTTGTGCTCTAGGGAAAAAGTTACTGGGTAAAAGGTAACAAGAACAATACTCACACAGCAAAATTAATTCCATGCCATGCAGCACTACGGTGTCTCAACAAGCAAATATGCGAGTTAATGAACCACTGAAGGGATGCTGGCATGCTGACCAGCCTCAAATGTTCTTGTTAATCCTATTTGATAATCCTAATTAATTTATTCTCTCACTTAGTTTAATTTCAAATGTCAAAAATCTTTAATTCATGACAGAAGTATAGTTTTCGCTTTGAAGCCCCAAGAAATCAAAATTTGTGATTTTTTTTTCAAAATTTGTGAGTTTCTCCTGTCTGGGTGCAAAGTGGTCAGTACAAAGCTTGAGTAAAGCTCAGGAAAGGCTTAATGATTTCTAGGATCATCTGTACTTTTTAAATTTATGTTTATTCAGTATAATCATCATGAACTCTGCAAGTATTGTAACAAGACTCTTATTTTGTTAAGTTTCGGTTGGAAACAAAATTATCCAATCAGGATGTTTTTCTCTGTGGTGTCTAGATAGATACAGCCAAGCCAGCTCTCCTATTTGTTAAAGCTTCAGGTGCTGGACAGAAGGCCTTACATATTAGATTAACTGCCAATATAATTATGAACTGACAGTGGAATGAACCAATCATGAGTGGGGCCAATTTTGTGGGAAAAATGTCACTCTAGGCCAGAGGTCTTCAAATCTGGACCTTGGATCCAGTTTCTAAATATAGGATTTTGTAATCATTGGTAGGCGTGACACCAGGTGGCCAATCATTTGCATCAACAGTTCACTTAAATATCTGTGATTACAAAATCTAGGACTAGAAACTGGACTCAGTGCCCAGATTTGATGATCTCTGCTCTAAGCCTTTTGGAAGTTCTAGAAATTGGGGGCAGTCATGGGCTGGAGGTTAGGGAACCAGCCTGGACTGTGTCCAATTCGATCCCCTGAGCGCCTGAGCCAGTTCGATCCCCTGAGCCGATAGTACGTGACTGAAGTGCCCTTGAGCAGGGCACCTAACCCCCAACTGCTGCCCAGGTGCTGTGGATGTGCTGCCCACCGCTCCAGGCAAGTGTGCTCACTGCCCCCTAGTGTGTGTGCATTCACTAGAGTGTGTGTGGATGTTTCACTGCATGGATGGGTTAAAATGCAGAGGTGAAATTTCCCCGTTGTGGGACTGATAAGGGTAACTTAACTTACACCACTGGTTACAGATGAGATGGTACTCTAACTGGTCTCTGTCCACTGAAACAGCAACAGCAGCTCTATGCTGCATTATGCTGCATTAACACTATTGTAAAAGTGGGCAAACTAATATTTATGGCTTGCTACCATTTGTAAGAATATTAGACCATGCCCAGACAGTTCTCAGTTTTGTGTAGGATTGGAAAACAGCAGCAGCTCTATGTTTGAGGTCACTGTAAAACTACTACAAGGTAAAATACATGTTCATGTCTGTTACAAGCTTCAAATGTCAATGTTAAATCTGGGACGGTCAAAATGTTTTCATGTTTTCATGAGCTTCAGCTTAATGGCAACATACTACCAGAAACCTCATACATGTGTTAACAGTAATTAGCATTATCACAGAGATGGGTTTTCAAGTTTAGTTTCAAACAAATAATTTTTATATTTTACACTTTGTTCCAAAGCAAACTGTAGGTGTTTCAGCGTTTTTCAGAATCGTAAGGAAGGACGTTCTGCTAATGGTCCTGGTTACTCACCCTGCCTACCACCCCTCGGCCTCTGACAGTCTCCAAGGTTCCTGATAAGCTGAAGATCCTCCAGTGTCTCTCTCTCAGCTGCACAACCTCGTTCCCCATGTTCTCCAAACGGATGCAGTAGCGCCACTGAGGCACACAAACACATATGCATAAATATTAGGCTGGGACCAGAAAGAATTCTTAATATGGAGTCTGTGAAAACTTTCATAATGTGATGAACGGGCTCCCATTTAATGGTGGGGTCATCGATTTTCACAGACGTTAGCTGAAGCTAGCTGTTTAGAAACTTAACAGCCAAACAGATGTAGCCTCTTCAATGGTCTCTCTATAGTCCTGCTCCAAAACACACATGTGCTGGAATGCCTGAATGCTTAATTAGTTTTTTCTTGTTTGCAGAGCCTGGGGCAGCCAGAAAGACTACATTTTCACCTCTGAGTACATTTTATCGACAGCTACTGGAATGTGATAAAAATTTCACCAAATACTACAAAAAAAAATGATGACCACATCTTTAAATGTATAGCTTTTCTGCTTTTTACTTACCCAGTAAACATGGGAATTCTGTGCTTCCTGTGGGATTTCAAAAATTAAGATACAATTAGACATTTGTCATTTTTTCAACTCTTCACTATAAATTTTTTACAATAAATCCAGAAAAAGACAGATGTAGTAGCAGAACATATGTATTTAATGTGTGATTTGAGGCTCAAGGTAAACAGGCACTGAAAGCTTTTCTTCTATGATGAACTAAAACCAGCCTTCTCAATCTCACTCCTGTGTACCCCTCACACTGTATATTCTAAATAAATGACGAGTTTCTTCTTTACCTTATAGCTGATAAGTATACAGTCCTATTGTCTCATGCCTCCAACTGTCAGACAGTGCTGGAACTATTACAATTATACAACTAAAACTACCAGCTGCTTCACAGCTTTTATTGCACACAAGGCCCAGAGACCGCAGCGCCATCTGATGCAGCTGACCGAGTGTGGCAATGTGAGGCTAAGGCTCACCCCAAAAGACTGATCAAAAGTCCACTACCTCAAAAGCTATGTCGACTACCTCAGACGCAACAGACTACACAGTGGGAGGTGACTGAGGGGCTGTTGCTTTTTCATATTCGTTTGACGTGTGACCAAAACAACAATGACTCAACCACCCAGCTAAAATGGTTAACGTTAGCGTGGCTTTATCTATGCATATTTGTGGCACGCCTGTATAACGGTTATGACAAAACTCACACTGAAGGAAGAATAGGGATTGGTATATCCACTAAAAATAAAAAACCCTGGAAAGAAATCGACTGTCTCTAAATTCAGTCCCCACGTAGTACATCACTGTCTGTGCAGTCAGTATGTGAAGAAAACAGTGTTTGGTCTTTGTGAACGCGACCATCTATTTGTAGCAAAAGCAGCACCACTATTCCTCCATCTCTAGCAGGACCAAAAAATAGGAACCGAAAAAGGGGAATACCGTGTCACCGTGGCAGAGATAAAGCATGCACCACCCTGATAAACTTCTATTGGTAACTGCAACATCACCTGACTCCTGATTTGCATAAAGCTAAACCTCGCTCAACTTTGAAAATGAATGAATCAGCGTTGTGTCACTGCCTGTGTGAATGGAGGGTTATACCATATATTTCCCATCTCTACTGCAGGCTTACCCTCATGCCCATGTAAAAAGGGATGACAGTCACTCGAATATTCTCTGTAGTCTCACGGTGGACATCAGACAACTCTAGCCAGGGATGGTTTTTCTCCTGCCATGCGCGCAATGTATCTCTTGGTACAAAAGGGGGCACTGGGAGGAGCCGCACACACAAAGAGGGAGGGTTATTAGACAACATATATGTGATATCTTGTGAGACAAAGAGCTGGGTTCAAACAATCTTAAAGAGGCTGGAAATTATAAGAGACTTGGAATACCTTTAGAAGGGTTAAACATGAGGAATCTCTCAAACAGCTCATGCTGAATGGGCACCTGATCCGTAGAATTATATGGCAGAATATCCTCATGACTCACATAATCTAGCCCTAAGAAAAACAGGGTGAAAAACACTGAGACCAGGCAGTAAACAAAAGATAGTTATTTCCTGCACGTTACACATTAGCGTGTAGTATTCAATTAGCGATACATGTTTTCACCAAAAGCTACTCATTATCAAGGACAACCTTTACTTTATTAGACTCTGGCAGGAACATGCTGACATGCTGTCCTAAGAAAGATTACAGTAAGTTATGTGCACTTGGGCTCACCTGGAATGGCATACAGGGCCCTGCTGTCGTCGTGATTGGCCAGAAATGTGACAGCCTCTGTTTGTGATCTCTGAGACTGTCAGTTGAAAAGGAGCACATTTCAATAACTGGCAATAAACTTAAAATCAAATGTATACATTTTTTTCACAGCCAAGACATGTTTGGTGTTCAAAGCTGGCTTCTTTAATTTTGTACTGGAGTTATGGGGCTAATGTAGGCCAGGATCTTCTGGCAGGTCCAAACCTTAATTACACTATAATAGCTTAGGAATAACTACACAAGTCTGCATTACAGTCAGTGTAGTTAAAGATAACTGATAAGCTTAAAGATGAAGTAAACTGAGGATCTTAAGTGATTATCAAGGGCCCAAAGTGTTGTTGAGCTGATTTACATAGGCTGGGGTAGAATACTATAATAAAATTGAAAGTTAAATTCATTTTTGTGATGTCAGACCATATATGTGTATATATATATATATATATATATATATATATATATATATATATATATATATGAACAGAATAACACTAATCTAAATGCTTCACTGAATATCTACAATAAAACAACCAACAGACCAAGTTAGCAATTAACAACAGCTAACACTAGTGCAGTATATTCTGCGCATGCATGTGTGTACTCACTATGTGAGGGCAGTCTCTGGTGTCGATGAGGACTTGGTAATATGTGTGTGTTTTGCCCTTCACCTCCTTTGACCCATGTGCTCCTGGAGGCTCAGGCTTACTGTAGGAGTGAACAACATAGTGATAAACAATGGTCAGATTGGGTATAACAATAAAAGGCATAAATCAAATATTTAAACATAGCAGGAACACTGCTGTGTCTGAACCACTCATGCCAGCACAACACACTCTAACATGCCAAGACCATGTCAGTGTCAAAATCTGGTAAAAAATCTAAAATGTACTGGACACACATCAGTACTCCCTCAATTTACATATCAAACAATGTCTATTTTACAAAACGTCTAACAAGAGGAATGAGTCTCTGCAAAAGTGCAGCCCTTTTGTGACTCATGTTCATTTTGTTGTTAAAACCATGTGATGCTGTCGTAAGCGAAAAAAAGTGCTTCGAAACGTTACAAAGCTCTGTCTGTGGGTCAGTGGAGAGATCTAAGCTTTCACATGTCCAAACCTCAATGATTTCTGCCATTTCTGCATGTTTTAATCAGGCAAATCAGGCTTATGTCTAGGGTGCCAAATCCTGGTCCTGGAGATCTACCACCCCCAGATTTTTCCAACTTTAATCTGACACACCTGATTTATGTAAGGAAGGCCTTTAAGAACATCAGAAAACTAGCTGCAGGTGTTCACTCCAAGGTGGTAGATCTACAGGACCAGGATTGGGCACCCGTCTTAGTTAGACTAGCAGTCTCAGAAAGGCAAAACAATCAGTGTGTCCTAATTCAGGGGCTGCATCCTTCAAAGGACGCGGTCTGTGAAGGCATGTCCTTCGAAGGCTTTCTTAGAGCTGTGAAGGCTGAACCGAAATGAGAAGGTCTGCCCTACGGTGGATTTTCTGTTTGCATCACAGCACCGCTGTTCCTGCCCTTACCGCTGCGTTGCGAAGCGGCACTCCTGTCAAGTTCTTTTAAAGTTCTTTAAAGATGGAACCAGAAATTTTGATTTTTGTTTTAATTTTTCGTTTTTTTGGAGCTGGAGATGCTTCACCGCCGGCTGCTGATGAGATTGGATATTTCTTTTTAAAGCATTACTACCGTTAGCTACTCGTCTCTGTTTAAACCCAATACTTATATTTAAAAGTGCACTCTTCAGTCGCCGTTCGCTCCTCTGCTGATTACGCCATGTTCTCAATTCCTCGCTGGCACCCAATGAACCTCGGGATATGCTGGCTGGCGAAGGATCGCTGCCATGTAAAAGGACGACACATTTCTCGGCCACATATGAAGGAGCCTTTGAAAAGGGACAGCCTAGTCGCGCCGCTGAGACGCAATCGGCCTTCAAATGCAGCTTCCAAAGGACGCAGCCCCTGAATTTAGATGCAGCTAATTAATTGTATTTATATCGCAATTCCTATTTGAAAGAGTGCAATTTTAAAATCAAAATAGCTGTAATTTTACACATATTTAAACTTAACCTTTTGATGCAGAGCTCATAAACTAGTAGTCTGGTACACTGTACTCAGCATTCAAGCCTCAAAAAAGGCCTGGAACTTAATTTATAACTGCCCTTTTTAACTCAACCGCAACACTGGTAAGAAAATTCACAGTAAGATATTTCCCCAATTTGATCACTCTTAAGTCTTCATCAGACTTGAGACTCATTAATATCAACCAACTGGTGTGCATGTAATCACAGTAATTTAAAAGGAAGGTCTGGGGACACTCAAAAAACTGTTCAAGATATCAGACATCACAGTTGCAATACTAAATCCCTTATAAAATACCTTATAGGTATTTTGGCAATAAGCTACTTTCAAAGGATTCTATACACCCAGTTTAAAATACTAAAGTGCATATATAAATCACAGGACTGGTACCTGTGATTGATAATGAACATTTGAAAAGCTTCAATATTTGTTTTTAAACCAAGACTGATCATAAAGGTGATTCTACCAAATTAAGACTTTGGCTTAGTGAACGAGTCCCTACTGTTGACATATTGCTAGTTGCTACAGAACTTAACCAAGACAGAAACAGAAACAAGCTCACAATGGCCTCCCAATTCATCTGTCCTGTCACATAAGGTTGTTGGTCAGGTTTTCCACAGCTTTCTGGCCCTACATAACCTTTCCTACATTGAAAAATCCCTTCAATAATGTATAAAACCCAAACGTGTTTCACAAATAAGCCTTAGTTCTCTACAAACACATTTTTAAAAACTTAAATTTTGCATGTTTGGCTTCTGGGACAAAGACAGCACAAATAAAGAAACTGAGTGATATGCTTTAGTGGGAACAGACATGCAGACGGTGTTCATTCACCTGTCGGTTGTTGGAGGAGTGACGTCACGGTCGTAGAGGCGGGCATGCCAGGGGAACAGCACGATGCCTCTGTAGCCAAACACGCTATGCAGGAACAACTTTGACAAACACATACAAATGATGTCATCTCACCATGTACTGAAAAAGCCTCTCTCTCCTTACATGTTTTTGTACAAGTTGGGTTTCAAATGATTTACAACTATCATAAGCTACTTTCCACATTATATTAAGATTTTGTTGATGCTCTAAGGGGCATTCTGGTCTAAAACTAGCATTTGATATGCTATTTGTTATGTGGTACTGTGTAGTGCAGCATTATATCCCTCAGTCTCACCAGTTTGACAGACGTAGGCACGTTTACTACAGATTCAGAACTTTTCAAAATGTCTTTCAAAACTTTTTTAATGCCACTTCAAAGCTAATTTTAAAACTGTAGGCCTGTCACAATCATAAATTTTAGCTGACAATTAATTGATAAATAAATAATTACAACTAATAATTTAATCTTTTTGCATGTATTCTATCAAAGTACAAGCCAAGTTGTCGAACTATCTGATTAGCCACGTTGCTTTCTAGCATTTTTCTATCTTGCTCCCAACTGACAACAAAAACAGCTTGAGCTTGATTTGCGGTCAGCTTAAAAACATGTGACCATCTCAAAGACCTGCACTCAGGCAATTATAATAATTGTGACAGGCCTAAAAAAAGGTGCAGTGATAATATAACACAACGAATAAATAGCTAGATAGATAGCTAGATAGATACTAGTCAAACAACACCTGTCTGTACCTTAAAATAACTTATTTCAAACGTATAACACTGGCCCGACTAGTATTTTACAAATACTTGTTGGTATTTGCAAGCAAATCCCTGAAGATTTATTCTCAAAATGATGATATTTCCATTTCATAATTAAGCATAATTCTGTGTATGTTTGTTACAAAGTTTACACAGTATTAATTGTGTATCAAATTAACTGAAATCAGCGACAGTGTAAGGCATGTAGCTATTCTATCTAAAGGCCTTTGCTTATGAACTATATTGTAATTTAGGCTACAAATTTCGTGGCTTAAAAAGGATGCAAACACTAAATACTAAACAGATAAACAAATACCAACATTATAAGCGCATACTTAAGTACTGAAATTATTCAGGCAATTTTACTAACTTAAGGCAATTTAATACTAATTAAGGCCTTAAAACAAATTATAAAAAATGCATTAGAATGTGAATATAAAATGTAATTACTAGACACCCTGAATATTAATTAGCCTCAGAGACAACATCAACATCAGCAGCTTCAGTGTGGCTAATTTTGTTATGCACCTAATAGTGTAGCTAGCTGCATTTCTCTGAAGGGTGGCTTTCATGTGGCTGAGATAACTATTAGTTTAACTTGCCCAATACTGGTAAATCCTTACCTGTCCTGTCTCATATTTGCCATGTTGCTTGGGGGCTTCAAATACTCCCACCGTCTCCAGCACCTTTCCTTCTGGCCTGTTACTGACCAAAACAGGACACACACAGGACAAACACACATACAGGCAGAGACCCAGACCCACACAGAGAGCACAAAGAGTGACAAGCATATAAATTAATATACAAGAGCGTTAAACACACAGGCAGACATAAAAAATAATTTGCACACACAGCCGATTGGACGGACACACGCAGAAGAAAGAACAGACATACAAACAAAACACGAGGACAAGAAGACAACATGAAAACAAAACAAACCCCGGGATTATTAGAAAACATGTTGAACTGTCCGCATAATCATAATAATCATAACCATAACATCCCAGTGGCAACATCAACAAAACAAAACGCTAAACTTGTTTCTTACAAGTCAAACATTAAGTCAATACCTTTTATTAAACATGTCTGCAGATTAAAGATAAGTATATGTTTAATCTTCAGACACGTTATTTACCGTTATCATGTCTTATGAGCTTAAACTGGACCCTGTTTTGGTTTCTAAGAACTCTGATCATGATTTATTATGATGTTTAAGCTCCTAATCCGAAGGATTCACATTCGTCACGTGACGATCAAATTCTAATATCATTTTCCAAGAATTTTACAAACATCAGTTGGGCTGGTTTAGTCCATATTCTCAATGTTTTGTCCTAAATATGGTCTTGTGGGCGATGAGTGAAGGGGGAAGGGTCCAGATTAAGACACTTGTGTTTTCTCTTCCCTGAGGCCACTTCTTTAGGGTTACTGCTCTTTTCTCATAGAGAAATTCTACAATCACAGTTCTACATTTTTGCTATTACTAATTGCATAAAGGCAAAGCAGTGAATACGAGAGCATTTACAGCTTTTTTTTTTCTTTGTCTTAAAATATTTAAAATCTCTACATCCTGACTTCATGCCAGCATGTTCTGAATACTTCTGGGTTTGGACATGTGCGTTTTTCAAATGTCCATGTTTTCCACATCTGCAGAACACTGTCTACACTAACTACTGCTTATTCACATACACGCGCTTAAACAGACAGTACATGATGAGTACATTAGAAACTCTATGGGATGGCTGACCACAAATGGAAGAGTAAATGATTTTGGCTGTTTAACTGCTTTTACTGTTAACTAAATTCATGTTTAGTTAACATGAATTTAGTTCGTTGCCAGCCACAAGTGGGACAGTAACCCTCTCTAACAATCATATATCAGTCAAAACATAAAACCTGATCTTAGTGATCTGCTACTGTCTGGTTACATAAACATTCAAGTTACCAGCCAGACATTTGTTCTCACCGGTAATGCTGGCTAAGCTGCATACAGACCATGTGTGATGTTGGGGGGGGGGGTCCACTTTTGCTTAGTGCCATGCCAGATAGAAACACCCTATCTGAACTCTTTTCAGAACTTAGGAACCTGTTAAACAGCCTATGCAACTAAGACCACTGTTTGTTTTAACATAAATGTGTGTCCCATTCCATACCAGTCTCTGATAATGCAACATATTTCGCAATGAGTACCCAGCTTACTGCCTGCTGCCACTGAAACGGTGTCATATGGCAATCAGTTTTAACTTTCACTTTCTTGATATTAGAGAAATTTTGACTGGGTAAAATTGCCATTTAAGGCTTCAACATAAAGATTTCACTTTTACACACAAAAACCACTTTTTTACATTGAAAACTGAATTAGCACATGTTCAAAGTTAATTCATGCTACAAATTTTCCCTTCGATAGCCATGAATTTCCTACTAAAACTTTCGTGCTACATTATTATTCCTTCTAGTTAGAGATGAGCAATACGACAAATCTTTATCATTGTTTTCTGTTATTGTGATAAACTAAGCATTTTATTAATATTTCTGGTACTTGAAAAACACTCATAACCTCATGTTTCACTACAAAGAGAGCATAAATAGTCAAGTTTAATAGGATTTAGTGCAGCACAGTATGCAAAATGCTGAATATAAATCACTGTACCTGATAAGTTGGTGATGGTAGTTTTTAAATGTGGACCTACAAGTGGACTGTGATATTAAAATATCATGAATCATATTGTGTATCATGAAAACGTCTAAGCATCGTGATGTGATACTTGTGCCATATCACTACTTCTAATAAGGCAAATTTTGTCATGTGAGAATTCAATTTTTGTCAAAATGCGTATTTTAAGCAGCAATTTTGTCCAGGACTACAAAACACTTTGGAAATCATGCCAAATGGGACAAAAAATAAAAATGAATAGATTTAGAGGAATTTCAAAGACGTTTTCAAACCAGCAGACATTGCCAGATGGTCGCACCAGATGATATTTTGACCCTTTAAGTAAAAGAAAAAATTACAATTAACTTAATTAACTAATGTTTTTGTAAAGTTAAAGTGAGTAGATATGTGGAGAGGTACGACATCTATATGGCATCTTTTAAACCTTTTATAAACTGGAAAAAAAATTTACGTGTCACATTACTGACCCAGTAACATCTTTACTTGGTGAAACTGAATTTATTTTATAAAATAAAATGTGTCGATGAACAAAAGCTGGTTCTCCTGCAAACAAGTTACAAGCCAGACAAGAACTCAAATAGTGCAAGACTGACCAATCACGACAAAGAACGCTTAGAAACACACTTTTTAAAAAGGTGGTTCTTCAAGGGTTCTTCAGTAAAGAGAATGGTTCTATTTATGACCAAGAGTTCTATTTAGAACCATTTCATGCTTGGTTCTTTGCATATTGAAATGGTTCTTCAGACTGATGGAGAATGAGCTGTATACGGTTCTACCTGGAACCTTTTTGAAAATTATTCTAAATAGCACCAAAAAGGATCTTCTGCTGTTCCTCACCTAAAAGGTGATTCTCCAAGGGTTGTTTAGTAAAGACAATGGTTGTACATAGAACCATGCCCAGTCAAAAAAACATGTGCATGCTTAAATGGCTCTTCACATGATGAAATGGTTCTTCCAATTGATGGAGAATGTGTTGTAATTGATATTGTTTTATATAGAACCTTTCTGAAAATGGTTCTAACTATATAGCACCAAAAAGGATTCTTCTTTTGTTACACACTTAAAGAAGTTGGCTCGTCAAGGGTTGTTCAGTAAAGACAATGGTTCTATACAGAACAATGAACGCTTCTTTGCATGGAGAACTGGTTCTTCAGATTGTTGTAGAGTGTGCTGCATATGGGTCCACATAGAACGTCTTTGAAAATGGTTCTATAAGTTATAGCGCCAAAAACAAAGATGGCAGTTCTTCAAAAGCTACAATCTTCACATCGTGACAACAGCAGAACCATTTTCAAAAAGGTTCTATATAGAACCATATATAACACATTCTCTACGAACTCTGAATAACCATTTCACCATGCACAGAGCCATGTAAGCATGGAGTGTGTGTGGTTCTTTTTTTTTTTTTACACTTAAGTGTTTATTGAGTTTTTATTTTTTTTTACACAAGTGGACATAGATGTAAGATGTATACAATGAAGAAACATTACAGACAGAACAACACCAGGAAAAAAGAAGGGGAACAAAGGGGTGAGAGAAAGGGGCTGTCTATGGTTACAAAACTCTTATCAATCATGTTTAAAAATACTATATTCTTGCATTCACGTCTATTTATCCCTTATGGTGTCATATGTTGTCTATTTACGCCACTTGTTTGCAAATACGTTTTCCCTCAATCGAAATTAGTAAGTGATTTTTTCTAGTATATAGATTTGTCTTACAATTACCACCCACTGTTCTGTTGGGGGGGGTTCAATTTTATACCAATTTCGTGTTATTGCTTTTTTGCTGGCTGTCAGAAGTATTCTTGTAAAATATTTATCATTATCCATAACATGATTATCTATATATCCAAGATACATAACTCTGAATTCTTTAGGGACTGAATAACCCAATATGTCTTTAACCACATTGTATACATTTTCCCAAAAAGAGTACAGTATATTGCATTTCCAAAAAATATGTGTATGATTGGCCTCCTTATTCCCACACATCCTCCGAGTGTTTGTGGTTCTATACAGAATAACTGTCTTTAGCAAAGAAAACCAGAAGAACCAGATTTTTTTAAGAGTGCAGCCAAATAACGTGCCAGAAGCCTAAAAGCGGCTAAAGAAAGAGAAGCTGACCTTGCATAGCTGAAGCATCCAGAGAGCTGCGCAACTTCAGCTGTTACACAACAGCCTGTCTGCCTGCCATGCAAGAGCCTTGGCCGGCAGTCAGTTAGCCTGTCAGCTAATGGCTTTAACTTACTCTGCGCTAGCCTAGCTAAATAATAATAACATGATAGTCTGCAGTCAGTTTAGACGGATACAGAGCGAAATCAACGCTCCGTGTGTCAACAAAGTATTCACTGCGCATTAACGGCGCCTCCGGCCACCGCAGACCGGTTAGCCAGTTAGCTTTAGCCGTGTTAGCGCGACACAGATGAGCTGGAAGAGCACCGCTTCTTACCGTGAAGACATGAACCGTTTCTGCTGTACATTCAGAAGGCCACACGAGGAGCACTGTAAACAGCGCCTGCTTACTTCGTGTCTGCTGTTCAGGTCCACACTGAGCGCCCGCAGCGTGTGGCTTTTACTATACTTACTAACGGCAGACAGGAGCCCCCTGCGTATAACACAGGCCGCCATCTTTGTTTAGGTCGGTTGGGTTACGGCTGCGCGTTCACGTGGCGAAGAGGCCTGGCGGTGGTGCGCGCTGATCCCGAATCAGGTCTCACTGCAGTGATTAAAGCCGCCAGCGCGGTAAGAGCAGCGGATAAACTGATCTCGGGTCAGCTTTAAGGGGCCGCAGCTGAATACAGGACCAAAGCTGATCAGAGAACAGATGGTACTGCGCACATCAACGCCTCTTGTTCTGTGAAAGAAAGTGGAAAACTGACTTCAGATCAGCCCGAAAGGGCCCCGGGCTCCTCTTCAGAAGCGCGCTAGTAGTCTATACCGCCACCTAGTGCCGATGTTCCGTAAATACAGTAAAGATTACTCTCTAACTTGCTTGAATAGATATGTGCGGAGCCCTGATGATAACATCATGTAGAAATAAAAATAATGCGTGGCCACGCCTTATTAACGCGTGGGAATAAGATCCTAATGCGTGCCCACGACTTAGTAAGGCATGGGAATGAGATGATTAAGTCGTGGCCATGACTTAGTAATGCGTGGGAACGAGATCACGGCTTACTAAGTCGTGGCCATGCTTTAGGATCTCGTTCCCACGCCTTACTACGCGGTGGCCACGCATTAGGATCTCGTTCCCATGCTTTGTTAAGTCGTGGCCACGACTTAATTATCTCATTTACACGCCTTACTAAGTCGTGGCCACGCATTATTTTTATTTATACAGGATGTCACCAGCGGGGCTCCGTAGGGGGACATGAAATATCGAGATATAGGAATGTTGTTGACATTCCATATAAATAAAAATAATGCGCGGGAACAAGATAATTAATCCGTGGCCATGACTTAACAAGGCGTAGGAACAAGATCCTAATGCTTGGCCAGGACATAGGAATGAGATGATTAAGCCTTGACCACATGTTAGTAAGGCATAGGAATGAGATGATTAAGCCTTGACCACCTGTTAATAAGGCATGATCTCGTTCCCATGCCTTACTAAGTCGTAGCATGATTTAATTATCTTGTTCCCACACTTTACAAAGTCGTGGCCATGCATTAGGACCTCGTTACCATGCGTTAATATGCATTATTTTTACTTTTACAGGATGTCACCAGAAGGAAGGAGAGATAAGGTTGACAGGTTGAAGTTTTATTAGAGCTAACTTACACTTATAGACTCTTCTAAAGAGTTTTTGTTCAACTTTTAGGCTACTAGCAATGTCATATTTGTTAATTTATTTATTTTAATTATTAAAGTTGATCCAAAATCCAACAGCTCCTGCGTTTCCAAAATAAGTGGATGAAAGATTCTTCAAAGTTATAACAAAAACAGCATGTGATGTCTATTATTGTTGTTATTATACCTATTATAGTTCCTCCAAGTCCATAAAACCATTATCAGTACTAGTGAGGGGGATGCCCTGAAGCAGATGACTGTTAACAAAATACTTACAAAATGCTTACTTATGTGGTTAGACAGCCCACATCTTTTCCAAAAAACACAGTGCTAAGCTGCAGTTAGTCAAGGCAAACTATTCTATACAGAAACTGCTCCTTTTTCACCCCTTCAGCCAAACTCACCTGTATTCAGAACATTTGGGGGTCTTTGTTTGTCTGCCTTTTGTTTGTCTTGTGTTGCTTTTTTGCTTTATTCATTAATATATAAATGAATAGGTTCAATTAAAAGTGGACAGACAGGTCCAAACATTTATTACCCACTTCAATAACTTAAAACTAGCATTTGTTATGTTATTTATTGAGTTGTGCTGTATTCTGTTGTACAACATTGCATCTCACAGCTTTGTTGATTACGTATACATTTCCAGTTTTGTATTCTTTTTGTGTTTTATTCATCAGTGTTCTATCACTACAATACCCAGCATGCACTGAGCAAATACATCAAACAACAGCTGGGCATCCACCTCACAGCGATGAAGAAATGCAAAGGCTCATAAATACAGATGTGTTATTTGACTTTGTGGCAGAGCTGTTAGTTGTCTAGTTTCCTTCTACATTAGCCAGCCGGTAAAAATAAATAATAATAATGATCACAAACAGTCTGCACTCATAAATCTGCCCGAAAGTGCATGTAGTTTTTCAAAAGTTCTTCCTACCTTCAAGATACATCATCAGAAGGGAGTTTTGCTAGACTTTAAACAGGAAAATCTCACTCTGGAGACTATTGCAGCCCCACTGTAAGAGGAGAGTAGGCATGTTTACAGCAGATGTGGAGATGGCTACATTTTTCACCTTGGTCAGACTGTCCCTTTAAACTGAATTGAATTCAATGTGATTAAAGAATGATTAGTAACTAGTTAGTAATAACTTAAGATGTGATTTTAGGGGCTAAAAGGTTAAAAAAATTAAAAGTTAAGTGAATAAACGCATAAAAAAATGAAACAATGCATTCACACTGATTCCTAAATACAGTCCTTGGAAGGAAGGAAGATAGATAGATAGATAGATAGATAGACAGACAGACAGACAGATAGATAGATAGATAAATAAATAAATAAACAGAATATTATGAAGTAGACGATGGATTTGTGGGGGGTCACTCAATATCAGCTAACACCGTGTGCTGGTCAACCTGGCCGTGAGTATTATTGTTCTGCTCTGCATGTAACTAAATAAGCACATATCCCTTCAATATCTGCCCAAAGATTAAAGGATGTAGTTTCATCTGGAACACACACACACACACACACACACACACACACATGCTTGCGTGGTCCAACTCACACAAAGTATATCTGAATAAGACTGTAGATTTGACACCCCGGATTACGGGGATTTTATTTTATTTTATTTGAAGATTATTCGCCGTGGAGATTATTATGATATGCGGAGATCAGTGTCCAGGAGGTCGGGCGAACTGTGAGGTCTGTAGTCATGTTCCCTCTTGTAATAATAACCACAACTGTAATACACCGTCCAGATCCTCAAATCCACATGCAATTTAAGCCGCCCGTAAGCTGATATGACTTCAGCTCAGAAATGTATTTATTTTTTATGTATTTTACTTATTCCTTGTTTACTTATTGTGTATTTGCAACCTATCTGTTTACTGCGTTTTCAAGGTGGAAAATATTTTCGCTATTCAATAACCCGTGGCTGTTATCATGGTTTGAGACCAACAATACTGGGGACAAATACTTTTGCTTTTAGAAGAATGTAAACGGCGCTGAATCCAGAGATGTGCTGACAGAAAATGCAAGTCAAAAATAACTAGTCTGAATAGTGGCATTTAATAAAGAGGGTAAAATCAAGGCAAACACAAAGTTTGTGACACAGCCGGTGACTTTATTTTAACAGCAAGCATGCAAGGTCTAATTTATGGCCATATTTCATTTTCTTTGTTGTCTCCAGTTTCCATGAGCTTGAAGGTGGAGCTGGGCCCCCCTTTGCAGATATAACAGCCTCCACTCTTCTGATTTTGAAGTGTGTTTGTGGGGATTTGTGCCCATTCAGTCAAAAGAGCATTTCTGAGGTCAGGCACTGATGTTGGACAAAAAGGCCAGGCTCACAGATGACATTCCTATTCATCCCAGAGGTGCTCAGTGGGGCTGAGGTCAGGCACTGATATTGGATGAGAAGGCCTGGACTGCCAGAGAGTGAGGCATGATTCATCAATCCAGAGAAGCATGTGATTGTCTAAAATTTTAATGCTGTAGCCGAAACCCTGACAAATAGCCCCAGACCATTATCCCTCCTCCACCAAACTTTACTGCTAGCACAACACACTCCGAGGTAGCGTTCTCCTGGCAGCTGCCAAACCCAGATTCATCCATCAAAATGCCAGACAGTGTGTGATTCATCACTCCAGAGAATATATTTCCACGGCAGAGTCCAGCGTGCTTTACACCACTCCAGCTGACGCCTGGCATTGCGCATAATCTTAGGCTTGTGTGCAGCTGCTCAGCCATGGAATCCCATTCAATTCCACTTCGAGAGGCAGTTTGTAACTCAGTAGTGAGTGATGCAACAGAGAGCAGGCCTCGCTCTATGAGTTTGCGTGGTCTACCACTTTGTGGCTGAGCTGTTGTTGCTCCAGGACACCTCCATTTCACAGTAGTAGCACTCACTGTTGACTGGGGCAGATCTAGCAGGGCAGAAATGTCATGAATCAAATCTCAAATGCATCTATAGTTCCAGCCTGAAGTCCAGCTGCTCACATGCTGATTGATAGAACCCATGACATTAGTTATTAAATCAATACCTTCAGCACCTTTAGCAAACTACACTAGACAGTGTTCACAGGAGACCTACAGTTGTGTGCAGAAGTTTGGGCACCCCTGGCCAAGTTGCATTTTATTCGACACAATCTCTGCAGCAAACTGTTTTAAACAATGACATTGTTCTGCAAATGTTTATGCACAGTCACTTCATATTTGGTTAACTGAGAAAATAGAAAAAATGAAAATTATATGTTTAGTAGTTTAGGAATGTTTCGCTGACACAGGAGGTGTCTGTTCTACTGTACAGCATTGCTTACACACAATCTGCATGGAAGAGGCCTTAACTGTGACATCACCACAAATGTCAATGTTTGAAGTATGAAAACAACATCTAGATAAGCCAGAGGTATTCTGGAAACAAGTGTGTGGACTGATGGTGTAAAAATTCAACTCTTTGGCTGCATTCACCAGAAGTATATTTGGAGAAAAAAAGGAGCAGCATTTAATGAAAAGAACACCTTGCCAGGTGTTGGGCATGGGGGCATGGGGGCATGGGAGCGGATCTATTATGCTTTGGGGTTGTGTGACAGCTAGAGGCACAGGAAACATTGCACAGGTAGATGGAAGAATGGATTCTTTTAAATATCAGCAAATTCTGATAGCAAACGTGTCACAGTCAGTCAAGAAACTGTGAATAGATCCAAAACATGCTGTGCATGCAAGACAACCCACAAATAGAATCAGATCTAGAAGTGTTCTGCAAGAGTGGGTAAAATTTCTAAAACAAGAATAGAAAGACTTGTAGCTGCTACAAAAGTGTTTGCAAGTTGTGATATCTGCCAAAGGTGTTGCCACTAAGCACATGATTTTCATGTAGGCCTCCATTTCTTGTTACATTAGCTCGTAGCTCCAGTGCAAAACTAAAAAATAAAAGTTTAGACATTACATATGTCTTCATGATCAGCTACATTGGGCTGAAAAGAATGTATTTTTTAATTGCATTCCTTTCATACTTATTTATTGAAGTGCTTTCATGTAATATTTCATAGAAAGTAAGGAATATGCAGGAATCTATAAAAACAGAATGATACGTGAACCTGTTTAGTATGTTTTTATTGCTTAATAATATAGAAATTCTCACATAACATTTGACATAAATATTAAATCACACATATTCAAAGCACAAAAGATGCTGTATACACAGTTTAACAGAAGATGGGATACTGGACTATAGCACACTGCAAATGGGTCTGTATGAAAGCGATAACAGAATGAGAAACTTATATACACAACCAACCAAGCAGATACTTCCGAAGCCTTCTTAATGATATTACTGCCTGAAATGCTTCCAAATGATGTGGATTCAGCTCCAAAATTTAGATTTAACACTACTGGAATGACATGAAAGACAGATCTCTGCAGAAGGGCACCGCACTGAAAAGGAGTTGCACATGGATAAAAACATATTAACACACCTGCTGTCTTTTAATTTATTTCTTTGGCCATTTTTTATTTATGTGCATCCGACTGACACAAATGTATTCTCTCATAGCAACCGTTGCTAAGTTGGACAAGTTTTATAGAACACTAAAAATTCCATTCAACGTAATGAAAAATTCTGTTACACTATTCAGTACGCTATTAATTTGAAATTGGTGTTGCTAACATATTTGTGTTGCTAACGTTAGCATGATGACAAATGTACAAATGTTTGGATTTTAAACAGAAAACTCTTATGTAGCTACTCTACATTCATTAGGTTGAATGGAATGGATGGATTTTTGCCAACTGTTGCAACAATCTCTAGTACAAAGGAAGAGATTTGTGGGCGGAGCTACATCAGGACTTCTGGGAAATACATTTCCCAGCTGAAGACACTTGACCCCCCTCCAAAGTCGTATGATGAAGTCAGGTACATCGACATTCTTTAATTGGTGACTTCAAAGCTATTTACATCAATGAATCAACAGAAATAACTGTACAAATAGTAAATACATAATAAAAACGTCTTTAAAATTCACAATGAATCCACATTTTAATAAAAGAGGCCTAAAACAAGAGATGCTAGCTGGTCAAGAGCTAATATAGTACAATAACAGTTTCACAACCTCAGTGTTCTTTCAGAGATTTCTCCACCACGTGAAGGTGACCAAGTCAGGTGAACGTGTTTCTACACGTTTGATTTGCGCTTGAAAGCTATGGAAGTCTGTTTGTGACACAAAATAATTAAAAATATAGTAGGCTATATAGTGCCTTATTATCTCACAGTAACTTACTTTTTCATAACCCCGACTTTGTATCTCATAATTATGACTTATTATCTTAGAATCCCATAATGACTTAATGTCACATAAAGGCAACTTACTATCTCACAATAATAAGAAAATGTCTCATAATTATGACCTATGACCTTACAATTATTACCTAAGATCTCATAAAATTAACTTACTATCTTCTAATAATGATAAGATTAAGAGATAAATCATTATTCTGGGATGCTATGTCATATTCATGAAAAAGTAAGTCATAATTATGAAAATGTAAATCCTAAGTATGCGATGCTAAGCCATAATTATTGGATACCAAGTTATAAATAAGAGATAATAATTCATATTTATGATATATTAAGTTATATTTATGAGATACTAAGTCATAATTAGAGGATACTACGTCATAATTATAGGATACTAGGTCATGAATGAGAGATATTAAGTCATATTTATGACATAGCAAGTTACATTTATGACAAAGTAAGTCATGTTTATGGCAGTCATATTTATGAGATACTAAGTCATAATTATAGGATACCAAGTTATAAATAAGAGATAGTAAGTCACATTTATGACAAAGTAAGTCATATTTATGACATAGCAAGTCATATTTATGAGATACTAAGTTACAATTATAGGATACTAAGTTATAAATAAGAGATAGTAAATCATATTTATGACGAAGTAAGTCATATTTATGACATAGTAAGCCATATTTATGAGATACTAAGTCATAATTATAGGATACTGTCATACATAAGAGATAGTAGTATCCTGTTTTGAAAGTCATAATTATGAGATGCTATGTCATAATTATGAGATACTAAGTCATAATTATGGGAAACTTTTTCTCATTATTACGACTTACTAAGCAGCTATTCGTTTTTTTCAGTGTTGAACACAGGCTTCCACAGAAAGCAGCACAAGAGGTCGACCAGCGTTTTTTAATTCATATGACTGTCCTCCGCTGCTGGTCAGAAATCGGCCAGGTTGGTGACGACAGCGGCGCTGTATATGAGGTCAGAGATGTCTCCTAGGGAAGTCTGGGGGTAATGCATGAGAGGAGTGCACTGCCCCTGTCTGTGCATGGCTCCTTCCCAGTAACCTTGACCAGAAGTGACCGCCTGCTCAACTGACACACACTGATGTCTGGGGTTGAGGCTGCACGGAGGTTTTCCAAGATGCCCTGAAAGCCCTCCGGACAGGGCTGTACCAGTGCTGACCTGCCCAAACTCACTCCACTGCTGCTGGCATGCAGACAGGACGGGCCTTGTGGTCTGACCGATGGAAAAAGAGTGGGTTCCTGGCTGATTCGCAGGCCCCGCCCCCCAAGGCAGAGCCCCCGGGAGGTCAGGAGAGATGGGTGGCGCAGGAGGTGTAGGATGAGGCAGATTCTGAGGCCAGGGGCCCAAGGCTTGTTTGACCCAGTCCAGGCTTGACCTCTGCTGCTGTGGCTGCTGGCTGCTCCTGTTAGATGCCTGGTACCTTTCGGGCCTGCTCGAGGGTGGAACAGCAGGTCCAGGCTGAGGGAAACTGACCACCGGGTTAGAGCTAGAGCTGACCGCTGGACCTGGGCTTCTCTTCACAGGTCTGGTCAGTCTGCCACTTTTGATGCTGCGAGCACGTCTGTTCTGAAACCACACCTGCCAAAGAGCAAAGACTAGTTAACTACACAGCTTTGAATGCTTTCCCCTTGTCCCTTGTAGTCCATCAGCCAAGACACATTTCTTTTTTCAGTTTCGCACTGAAGCTACGAGGCTAATGTCATAGGAAGAGGTTGGGTGACATAGTGTGCTTGTTAGGTAGCTATATACATCTGAGGTTTGCTTTTTTAGCCTTATAGCCCCAGTACAAACTAAAAAAGCAGACCTGAAACTTCAAACATGTCTTGGCCGAGCAACTACATTTGTGGGTAGGTGTTTATTTTTGGTAAACCATTCTTTTAAGGGCTGTTTGTCAATCATTCTCTTAGTAATCTGGCAACTGGACTTGTAGTTAGTCACCCTAACTAGAATGAAAACCTTCACTGACAGTACATAAATAGCACAATACAGTACTGTCCAAAAGTCTGAGTCTTCATTTATTTCACTTTCCAGTCAAAACAGCCATTAAGTAAAAGATATTCATATTTCAGCATCAAGAAAAAAACTTAAAACATATATTTATCAGAAAACCTGCACAGAAGCCTCAACAATCAAATATAATACCTAATACGTCAGTATTTATTGTGTCCACCATTTGCTTTTTTACAGCTTCCAATCTTTAATGTTTTTCCACAAAGTTCAGTCTTAGAAGTTGGTTTAACATTTCCCGCTTCTCATGATCCAAAGAATCCCAAACACATTCAGTGACGCTGAGGACTGAACTCTACGGGAGTCCAGAGAGGCCATGAGAAAATCAAGCTCCACTCTTGCTTCAGATCTGAAAACATCCACAAGTGTTTCAGTCCATCCTTCCACTGTGAGAAGACGACTCAGCGCTATGGTTCTATAAGGACGTGTAGCTGTAAAGAAGCCTCACTGAGAAATGGAAGAAAAAGCAGCTCAGAACAGTGGACTGACCACCCCAGAGATCGTCCGGAGAGGCCACGAGGTAGTTATCATTTTCTGGACTGTTATCTTGAGATCATGACTTAATTGTCTTGTGATCTCAAGATTATCAAGCTGTTAAGTTATCTCAAGAAAACAACTGATGACAAATAATGAAGACATGGTGGTCAGTTCACTGCTCTGGGCTTCTTTTTCTTTCTTTTCTCAGTGAGGCTTCTTTACAGCTACACATCCATTCAGACCCACAGCGCTGAGTTGTCTTCTCACAGTGGAAGGATAGACAGAAACACCTCTGGATGTTTTCAGATCTGAAGCAGCTTGATTTTCTCCTCTCTCTCAAAGATTAAAGCTTTAAGTGTTGTTTATCAGATGGGGACAGTTTTGGTTTTCTACTAGTTATTCCAGGTGGTTATTACACTGTTATTATAAAGGCTCTGTTCAGGTACATTTTTCATCCATCCAGGTACAAACAATGTAAATATTCCCTCAACGGTACTACGGTAGTTTTAAGGTCCGATTGTGAACCTTAAATAAGATTTTTCCAGGTGAAAAGTACAGATTTGTACCTCTTCATAACCAAATGTTTTAAAACAGAACCATAAAATAAAAAGCCTGGAGACGAGACAGGCTGTGTGGAGTCAGTACAGCTTAGAAAATATAACTGCAATGGATTATGGTACAATTATGTTCCCTCACTAAAGGTAGTAAGATGTACCCTTGAGGGTCCCACCCCAGTGACAAGATGGGTACTGCCCCAGTGACAGTTTAGTGCCTTTGTTTCTGAGAGTGTAGGAGTCCCATTTCCTCTATATATTTTCATCATTTTTCAAGTATTTCCCTTTGACTTTTTCCTCCTCATCCAAGCGGATTATCCATACCTAATGTCCTCAGAAATATCTCCTGAAAAATGAAGAACTTGCACTTAATGGCCATTAATATACTACACATAATTCATATAATATTTCTAATTATTTTTTTATCTATTGTCTAAAATCTATTGTTTTATTCAAAGATTCACAGAATTTACATGTAAATAAATTGTATTACATCAACACAACTATTGCCAAAAGTGAGCAAAGAGAAAGACAAAATTGTGTTGATATACATTTAATTGATATAGAACTTATACATATTTGTTCATGTTCATTTTAGAATAAAATAAATTCAATCACTGTCTTTTGGGTCAATATCTAAGGTCTGTATTTTGCCTGTGTGTGTGTATATATATATATATATATACACATATATATATATATATACACACACACACACAAACACACACACACACACACAAATATATATATATATATCCATTATTTATTTATTTATTTATTTATTTATTGTCTTTCTTACCTGGATCTTGCTCTCGGGCAGCAGGGTGACGGCAGCCAAACGCTCGCGCAGCGTGATGTCCGGGTACGGGGTCAGAACGAAGGCGCGCTCCAGCTCGGACAGTTGCGCGCGGCTGAAGATGGTCCTCTTCCTCTTGCGCTGACCCTCCGGGTGGGCAGTCCTGTCCGTCTCAGGAGAGGAGAGAGCGCGCTCTGCCACGGGGTCTACATCACAACACACACACACACACACACACAGACGACATAATTATAGATTTGTCAGGTCAGTCAGTTACAATAAATAAAAAATGTAACAGCAACACGATCGCTTGTATTTTGGCAATGATTGTGCTGCATTTCCCTCACATGTAAACTCGTGCACTGAAAGCGCTGTACGAAATATGAAAAAATTAAATAAACGAATTTGAACATTTTACAGAAAACTTTAAAAGAGACATGTTTTTTGTTATAATAATCATTTATGTTTTCTCCCTCAGAGTGACGCAGTTCAGCTGGAAAAAACTGTGAATTTGATTCAGTATGAAAATATTAAAGAAATCGATTTTAAAGCTCTGTTCTTTTTACAGTTACAGTTCAATAAAATCTGCAGCGGTTAAGAATGAGATTAATGATGGAACTGAAACACTGAATGAAGTTCTACTGAAATAAAGAGTTCTCCGTAGTGGTTCTTTAAAGACATATATCTGGTTTTCTATCATAGAGAAGAACGATTTGACCAGACAAAGATGCTTTCAGATGGTTCTGTGCGTGTTCGTGGTTCCACTGCCTTCAATACAGAACCCGTGAAATAATTTAGTTATCAAATGTGTAAATTCAGTGTTCAGTGGAGTGAGCTGGTTTAGAGAGAGTGCAGTGAGGTGTGCAGTGGGGTGTGCAGTGAGGTGTGCAATGTGATGCAGCTCTGCTCTCCGCTCACCTGTGAAGTCCCTCATGTTGAGGAGCAGCTCCGTTTCTCCATCCTCGCTGCTCCTCTGTCCGAAATCAAAGCCCGGATCCACAAACAGAGCCATCCCTCCAGACCCGGACTCTCCTCAAGTGCAGCTCAGCGTCCCACACCCACCCGCTTTATACCCCCCACCCCCACCCTTCACACCCGCCCGCAGAGGTGTCGGGCTATCTGTCCCTGGGGGCGCTGGATGGGCTTTTCTTCCCCCACCCGTATTCCGTATAGAGCTGGGATTGGCCGGGGGTTCACACTCACAGTCCACTGCAGTCCACAATCCACTGACCCACAGCCAGACCTGCAGTGTCACAAACACACAAAATAAAATTGGTGTATTCGTCTTTATTATTAGTACGAAATTAAACTACAACAAAGGACAGTAAGAACGTGCAGTAAACTAATCACATAATATCAGTAATAAACTACAAGTGTAAATAAAGAAGAAGAAGAAACAACATTATTTAGCTGCTGCTTAGATTTACTGTCATGTCAAATCTGTCAAATATTATGTAAATTATGCCAAGTTTTTAAGTGATCTTCAAATAAGAAGATCATTTTTTACTCCGTTAACTTTACTATAAGAAGTTCAATGAACTCAAGTTTAAAATCTGGTTACTAACATTAAATAAAAAAAAATGCATTTTTATAAAAATTTACTAAAATTGTAAATGACTGTGTTTAAATTCATACAAATAACTGTAAAAGGGGGAAAATTCATAGAAATCAAATTTTGAAGAAGCACTGTGAAAATTTCCCTTTTTACAGTTATTTGTATGAATTTAAGCACAATAATTTACAATTTTAGTAAATTTATATAAAAGTGCATTTTTTTATTTAATGCTAGTAAAATATAAATAAAATTGTATTTTATATATATGTATATATATATATATATATATATATATATATATATATACATACACACACATATATATATATATATATATATATATATATATATATATATAGTACAGTTTTATTTATTTTTTACTTTCTTATGTTGTTCATTTATTTGCCGTGTTTGTCGATTCTGTATTTATTTATATATTTAGTTATTTTTCTTTGTTTGCGGTGTGGGGCAGGAGGCGGGATTTGCCGGAATATAGGCGGGAAATGACCCCCCCACGCGCACAGGTTGGTGGGGTCTTGCCTTTGAAGCCCCAGCCACCCCAACACCAGCGCGTCTAGCAGCTCGGAGCGCCGCTCCGCACAGGAAAGCAGCGATGGGTCGCGGATGTGTCTGACGGACACGCGCCTTTTCTCACGCAAATCACCGCCGCTTTTCACCCCGAGCTTATCAAAGCCTCGCGCGCTGCGGCGGTCAAATTTCAAACCGAGGATTCTATGTAGGTCAAAAATGGTGACTTTATGATTACATACTTATATACTAAGTCAGTCGGCTGCACGAGCACAAAATATAGTACACCAACGCAATTCCTGCCAAATTTAACAAATAAACAAACAAATAATACATAAATAAATAAACCGGAGGATATTATCTGTGATGTATTGACGTGCAACCATCTGATCCGTTCAGAAGCCCTAAATGGCCGTGAATTCGCGTTTTATTTGTATCTCGGCGATAACGAGTTATTTTCGTTTGTCTTCTCGAGATTTCCAACTATTTATATCATTACCAGGACACAACGAATGTTGCTTTATTGAGATTTCCAGTTATGTATGTCATTATCACGACATAACGAATTCTATTTTGATAAAGCAATGTCCGTTATGTGGTGAGAACTCGAGAAAACAAGGGAACAAAACTCGTTATCACGGAAAAATGGAGTAAAAAAACCTTAAAGGCTTCTGTAGAATTAATAATAATAATAATAATAATAATAATAATAACCTGGTTGTGTTCTGGCTGTTGGAGTTTGAGTCGTGTAAATGTGAAGTGTGATGTTTTCAGTGTGTGTTCTGAATGTAATGCAGGCAGGTTTAATGTTGACAGAGTGGGGAAATTATAATGACCAGTTTAATCGGTTGTTTACAGTAAATATGTAAAACATAACCCACACACGCCATTATGAGGTGAATCGATGTCTTTGGACCTGCTGGTCAGATCCGCTCCTCCTCCTCCTCCTCCTCCTCCTCAGCGGATATGTGACCGTCCTCTGCGGGGCTGAATGATGATGTGAGGCGGATTAGGAGCAGCGAACACCGGCGCTCACAGCACAGCAGTAATCTGAGCCACAGATTACCGCCATAATCTGCTGTTCAGAACTTCACTGAGCAGAGCGAGACCTGCAGCCCACTTTTACCACAAAACAATTAAAAAAAGATGGTTCTTCAAGGGTTCTTTAGTAAAGGGGATGGTTCTATATAGAAGCGTGCTTTCTGCATAGCGATCTCAGTGAAATCCCGTCTGATGCCTGTTTTGTTGAAAGGAAAAGCAGAAGCGCCACATTTAACATCCTCTCAACTTAAAACTTAAAGGCTGGAGTGCTGAAGGTGGCCGGAGTGCTGGAGGTGGCTGGAGTGGCGAAGGTGGCTGGAGTGCTGGAGGTGGCGGATCTTCGTGTTCCTCTCTCTTCTGCCTCATTAGCATAATTCGGCCTCAAACCTGCGGCTGGAATACACACAGGCGGCGAGTCCTCAGTGTTTGATATGAACGGCCCATTAGTGGAGTCATTAGAGACCATCACACAAACATCTGACCTCAAAAGAGATCAGAGCTCAACTGACCAACTACAGCACAGCCTAATAAACACGACTTACTGTGTGCGAAATTTGCATGTCCCGTAAGTGTCACGTGTAATAATGATTTTCCCATATGTGTTATATAAGTATATACTCATGTCATATAAGTAATTACTATATGTAATAACAACATGCACCGTATGGAGTATATGTAATTAAATATATGTAATAATAATGTGTTCCATATGTATTATATATACGCAATGACCCACATGTGATGATCAAACATTGTATAATATATATAAGTATCTATATGTAATAATAACATCTCTCATATGTATTATTCTGATCATTCTTTGAAATGTTGCTAAAATAATCGAATAAATAAAGTGAATAAATGAATGTCATATGTATTGTTTCCCAAATATATATATATATATATATATATATTTATATATATATATATATATATATATATATATATATATATATATATACATATGTACCTACATCTTAAAACAACATTGCCCATGTGCATTACAAATGTGTAAGTATATATAATATTTGCCATATGTATTGCAGGTATTCAAGTACTTTTATGTAAATTTTATGTAATAAAAGTACCTGAGATGTATCATGTAATTATTTATATGTAATAACAATATGTCCCTTATGTAGTATTTATATGTTATATGTAATGTTAACAAATGTGTTCCATATATCTATATATATATATAAATGTTTGAGTATATATACTATTTGCCATATGTATTATATGTATGTAAGTACTTATATGTAATAGTACCTACATCTAATAAGAATTTTCTAAGCCTAATACTACATCTATTCCTAATCTTAACCTTAGTAACTGAAAATAAATAGTTTCGCTAAAGTCAAAATAAATAAGAAATCATAACACATTTTCTTTCCATAAATTAGTGTATCATTATAAATGTTCCAACCTTTCAATCGTCTTCTATTAAATAAACATTGACTGAATAAATAGATCTAAATCATGTATAGTTGTCAAATGAGGGTTAAATAAGCGCGTATGTGAAAAGCTCTGAAACCATGTGATCACGTTTGAGCCGTACTCTTATTAACAGACAAAGCAAACAACTCATACCACATTCATTCATTCATTTATTCACTTTATTTATGCGATTATTTTATCAACATTTCAAAGAATGTTCAGAAACAGAAATGATCAGCTTTGTTCTCCACCAATATTCAGCCTTGTGCACTTTCGTTGCAGTAAAATAACAATGTTTTAACTCTTGTAGGACAATGACCATCCCAATATTTCTCAGTTTCGTGCATTTACTAAGACTGCTCACTCTCCCAGCCCTTAAATACATCCTCAAAACTTTAAAGCAGCCAGGTTACTACCTTTAAGTTAAGCTCAGCTATAACTGTCTCATTTTCACTGCTGAATTCTACTAAAACGATTAGCCATGAGCAATCATCCAGTCTGCCCCAGCGTCGCCCTTCACAACGGAGACAAAAGGAATTTGCAGCTACATCTTCAGGTCCACACTTAATACACAACCTGCCCCACACAATTTCTTCCAAAACCCCATGAAGCTGCTGATAATCCCCCCCCTTCCCGACAACAACTCCCTTTCAATACACACACACGTCCCTTTTTCATCTGAGGGACACACGCTGACCTTTTCTTCACCTTTCTGATAAACAGTCCTGCTCACAATCTCATTATACTGTACTGTAGTACTCAGTGTAAAACCTTATAAGCCTTAATGTGAAAGACCTGTAAAACCAAGCAGCGCACGTATCTACCTGTCTCTCAGTCAGCTCTGCTATTGTAATGCTATGCACTGGGATCAGTGGACATTTTTACAGAGCATCTTTTGGGTTAAACTAATGTTTTATTCCAAACACAGCTGTTGCCATGGCTACAGTATATGCCTCTCCCATGGCTTATAGGCCTTTTGTGTTGCTCAAGAGTCTGTTCTTCCCTAATATGCATCTGACAGCACACACTAATGTGAGAATCATGTGAAAACATGTATGTATTTCTCCTGCTTTGGGCATCAACCCCTTAAATGGCCACCAAAGTTTCATTACACACTTCTATAACCTAAGAATAGCTCAGCCAGTTTGCACTGAAGTCCCTGTAGTTATTGCATAATGAGCCTTAGTATGTAATAAACCTGGGATTTTAATAGGTTAAAGGGGAATTCTGCCAATTTTTCAGAAAGCACAAATAAATGGTTAAGATGTCAACAAAGGCATTCAGAATGGTTTGATGTGAAATGTTAGTGTGAAAGTCTGGAGAAACTTGCAGAGTCAGAATTGTTCACAGTGGTGGTGATAGGAACCAGACGTCCGAAGCCTTTTATGCCTCTCAAAACTACCTCATAGAAAGCTATTACATGAAATGGTTACACTGTCTGATCCATTAGATATTATTCTTATACAGTTTTGAGATAATGTTTTGGCTTAAAACTTTTAAAAAATCATGGTGGAGGGGTAAGGCAAAATACCCCCGAAAGAAATATTTTAGAAAATATATTTTTTGACGATTTACCACCATTTTACAATTATAAATGTTACATATAAAAACTGGAAAGCATGTGTGGGTTCACTGGTCAGTTTTGGATAGTAAATAATTTGTGCAGTAGACACTGTGACCTCTGGTTCCTATCAGCACCACTGTAAAGAAATCAGAGTTGGTACGTTTCTCGACAAACAAACCACTTCATGTCAAACCACTTTGAATGCCTTTGTTCACATTTCAACCAGTAAACTATGCAGAAATTTTGAAAAATCAGAGGGCTTCCCCTTTACTACACTAATCTTTAACATCATCTATGCTGCACCACTCGGTTTCATGCTGCAACAATACAAAAGATTACAAGAGGCTGAGCAGTAGAGCTACAGTCGATGTGCAAATAACATGACATATAATATTAATTCAGTTTCCATACTCAAGTTGATGGACAGTGACCTAAAGCTAATTCAGCAACTGCAACAACTTCATTTTCAACTGAGCAGTTCACAAAAAAGGCAGAAAGAAGAGATCAAATAAAAGAAATCATATAAAAATGCTGGTTTTCAGTCTAAAAGCCCCAGTCCTGTCGACGGTCACTCAAATCTCTTGAGGTGGTTGTACAGGGACTGCACATACGTAAACACACACATGGGGTCAGGGTTCTGTCCCATGGCCATCATGTCGTCCACTTCAATCAGGCGAATGCAATCTGCCTTCTCCCTGAGAGAGATAGAGAGACAGAGAGCGAGAGAGAGTGAGAGAGAGAGAGTGAGAGAGAGAGAGTGAGAGAGAGAGTGAGAGAGAGAGTGGGAGAGAGAAATGTAAGAGACTTTTTTTTATATATTGTCACTGCTGTGCAAAAACCGTGAATCTCCATTTTTATTTATTTATTCTTTTTGCATAGTTTAACGACTCCAGTTACTCTTTGTATTGTGTTGAAATTTCATGATGAACGGCCCAACAGAAGTGGACAAAAATGGCTTGAAAACATTAAATTTCATTACAATTTCATTTCATTACATCTCAAGAATGTTCTTTCCTTCTTCTGTAAAGTTACCATTTTGGAGATATGAGTTTTTGTTCCTACAGTGATGTATGTAAATGTGTATTTGAAATATATATTTCATATTAAATACACTAGTGTTCAAAAATTCAGAACCACTTGCCATGAAGCTGGTTTCACAAAGCCCTATTCTATGTTTCTTGTACCAGTTTCATGGGTTACAGTTTTTGTACACAAGTATGATTTGTGTACAGCGTTTGTTCAAACACTTTTCTCCCATAGAAAATGAATGACAGAATATTGAAAAAAATTCAATCTAACTGCCACATATGTCAGAAATGACATCTCTCACACAGCCCATACATATATTGTGTAGGGATAACATACCATGATCAAGCAACACCTTAGGAACCACCTGGGATAACATAGCAACATCTTAGCAACCATTTGGGATGTCATAGCAACAACCTAGCAACATGTTAGCAGCTCCCTGGGATTCCATAGCAGTGGTTATTTAATATGACCAGTGACAGGTTGATTTCAGGTTGACTTTAGAAAATAAAACATGCAGCTTCTGTAAAAAACACTTTCTTTGCTAGGACTATTTTGATGCTGCTGCTGCTTTTAACACAACCCCATTTCCAAAAAAGTTGGGACACTGTGCAAAATGCAAATTAAAAACAAAATGCAATGCTGTGCAAATTATTAATGCTAAAAAAATGCCTGGTGGTTGATTGGCAACAGGTCAGTAACATGATTGGGTATTAAAAAATGTATCCCTGAGTCTTTCAGAAGTAAAGATGGGGAGGGGTTCACCACTTTGTGAAAGACTGTGTGGGCACAGAGTGCAACAATTCAAGAATAACATTTCTCTACATAAAATACAGGCAGCACTGCATTAAAAACAGACATGATTCTGTGGTGGAAATCACTGCATGGGCTCAGAAACACGTCTGAAAACCATTGTCTGTGAAAACAGTTTGTCGCTGCATCCACAAATGCAAGTTAAAACTCTAAAACGCAAAGAAGAAACCATATGTAAACAGGATCCAGAAACACCGCCACCTTCTCTGGGCCTGAGCTCATTTAAAATGGACTGAGGGGAAGTGGAAAAGTGTCCTGTTACATTACAGCAGCATGGATCTGTATTAAAAGAGTCCTGCCTGCCTGCAGTCCAGACCTGTCACCACTGAAAAATATTTGGTGCATTATGAAATGAAAAAGACGACAAAGGAGACAAAGGGACAAAGGGAAAATATTTCACTTTCAACACTACAGCAGTGTCTCCTCAGTTCCCAAATGCTTACAGAGTGTTGTTAAAAGAAGAGGTGATGAAACACAGTGGTAAACATGCCCTCGTTGGAACATATTGTTGCCATCAAATTCAAAATGGGCATATATTTTTTTTTAAAAAACAATAAAATTTCTCACTTTCAACATTTGAAATGTTGTCATTATAGTATTTTCCTTTAAAAATATGGTTTACATGATTTGCACATCATTGCATTCTATTTTTTTTTACATTCTGCATAGCATCTCAACTTTTTTGGAAATGGGGTTGTACATAATCAGGACATTTCTATATCCTGAAAATGTACAGAAACAAACATGCAGTCATACACACACTTACTCAGCAGTGGTGAAGGCTAGATCGAGGTTGTGTTTATGGTGAGCAGGGTTCAGTTCACTGTAGTCAAACTCATTGGGGAAGAAAGAGTGGACCAGAGCACAGAAGGCCATTCCATCAATCCAGCTGGAGGAGAAGTTATTAATGTTTATGTGCTGAGAGAGAGGGAGGAGAGAAAAATACATGGATTGCCAGAGTTTCTATGCATTCAAACACAAAAGTGCCCCATACCCAGCCCTTTTCTGTCAGTACTCAGCACACTATTTCTAAATCAAAGACATTCATCACTGTATACAAATGTGGCAGGTGTTACCTGGTAGCCAATGGTTTTGGAACGGCACCACTCCAACAGAAGCTGCTTGATGCTGTTGGCGCTGGATGTGTCACAGCTTTGAGATCGTTTCAGTTTAGGCTTTGATTCAGCAGTCTTAGTCCTGAAAGAGAGTCCATTTCAAATACAGTCCTTCATTATGACCATATGCCTTGTGTCTGCACTGTAAAAAACAGGCTCGTCAGATCTACCTAAAAAAATTACTTCATGTGGTAACAAGTAAATTAACTAGTTTTATTCAAGCTAAATAAATACCTTGAATGAACGTTTCTTTCATTCATTTTAAGCGGAATAAAACTAGTTCAATTGCTTGTTACCACATGAAGTAGATCTGATGAGCCACTTTTTACAGTGTGTATTAAATGTACAATTTTCCCCATTTGTAGCTGACTGGCCAAGATATGTTTATTGTCTTTATTGTCTGAAGTTTGATTCTATGACACTAGAAAAGTATGGAGTTCATTTTGTGCCAAAAGTTTCAAATAAAATACTAAAATCCACAAGCAAAATATTAAGTATCAAAATGTCCAAGGTATGTTGCAAATACAAATAATGAGAGTTAAACTTATTTTTTTTTAAAAAGATTATTACTCATTTCCACTCATTCCGATTCAAATTTATTACTCATTTTACCCGTTTTTGCTTCAGTTTTTCTATTTGCTGATGTTGCTGATCTGTTTTTTGCTTTCAAAATCACCCTTTTGCTTCTGAACTTTTTCTTTTGCTTCTGATTTTTGGCACTTTTTAACAGAGGGCGGGTCTTGGAAGAGGGGGGTCACCTGATTTGGAGTGACAGGTCTTTAAAACACAGAGCCGCTCAGCATAAACTGCCCCCAGTATGGTGGAACCCGTCGTTCTGACTGCTGCCTTGTCAGTCAGTGTTGTGCTGGAATATCTGATGTTATGAGCAATTTGTGTCATATTCTTTTAAAATTGTAAATGTAACACGTTTATGGCTCCTGTGTCAACATGTATAAAAGAATAGAATTGTTATTTTGGGCATTGATGACCATAAACTTACGAGTGAACGAAGCTGTACCACCTTTCGAGTTTGTAGATGCTAGCGCTAGCTTGCCTAGCACACTGTAAAAAGTGGCTCATCAGATCTACTTTAAAAAATGACTTCATGTTGTAACAAGAAATTGAACTAGTTTTATTCAACTCAAAAAATTACTTTGATTAAAAGAATCGTTCATTCAAAGTATTTATTTAGGTTGAATAAAACTAGTTAACTTACTTGTTACAGCATGAAGTCATTTTTAAGTAGATCTGATGAGCCACTTTTTACAGTGCAGTGTCCTCTAGGGATAACTAGGCTAGGCACACTGGCAATGGAACTAAACTGCTGAAATTTCTAAGGTTAGTTCACTGTATTAATGTGAAGTCAGTGATTTGGAGCAGCACATTTGCTTGTGCTTTTTATTATTTTATTTAAACTTTTGGCAGAAAATTAACTCCATAAAAAAGCAAACCTCAGACAGTCGAAGTATTACTTTACAAGCTGCACAATTCTAAAAACAATATCGCCAGATCTAGACACCTGCTAAGCTCAGAATCCATTCTTTCAAACAAGGCCTGCTTTCCCAGGACACCCATGTTCCTTGGCAGCGTCTGTGACTTCGCCAAACTCCTCCCTGCAGTCACACTGATGGTCTTCTTCATGAAGCTACAACAAAACCAAAACAGGTGATGTGAAGGTTTACATATCTTTACATATTCTGTTTTTTCTTCCATTTGGAGATACACTATGTGGCCAAAAGTATGTAGACAATTATTGTGCTTCTCCTAATTATTGAGTTCAGGTGTTTCAGCCATGCCCATTGCTAACAGGTGTACAAAATCAAGCACATAACCATGCAATCTCCATAGACAAACACTGACATTAGTATTGGTCACACTGAAGAGCTCAGGCACTGTCATAGGATGCCACCTCTGCCACAAGTCAGTTAGTGAAATTTCTGTCCTGCTAGATCTGCCCTGGACAACTGTAAGTGCTATTATTGCAAAATGGAAGTAACTGTGATCAACAACAGCTCATCCACAAAGCACTAGGCCACGCAAACTCACAGAGCCTTTGTGCGTAGTGCATGTGAATAGGTACGTCATCAGTGAGCCAGGCCTTCTCATCCCACATTAGTTCCTGACCTCACCAATGCTCTTTTGACTAAATGGGCACAAATCCCCACATATAGCCTCTTGTAGAAAGTCTTCCCAGAAGGCTGTTAGAGCTGCAACTCTATATTAATGCCCATGGTTTTGAAATGAGATGTCCAGCAAGCACATTTAGCTGTGATGGACAGGTATTCACTTACTTTTGGCCGTATAATGTATGCTACTTATTTTAAAAATAATGCATAAAGTCCAGTAATAGTCCTTACTTTTCACTGACTTCTTTTGAATCAGAGAAAGAAGCTGACTTGGAAAAGGTTAAAGTCTTGTCTGAAAAAATAAAAGAGAATAAAAAAGCATTAAAATACATTTAGGTGTCTGAGAGGAAGCTATGTAGCATCAGTGAGTTGGATCCTACCAGAAGGGCGGGATAAACTTGTATTTATCTTCTGGCTAGAGGTCCATGGCTTCACCGCAGACACTAGAATTGAGAAACAAAGTCAGAGCAGGTCAGCAGAAGGAAAGGGGTATAAGATATTGGGGTGGAGATGTATTGAACTCACCAGGTCTGCTGGGAGACTCTGTGCTTGGTTTAGGAGCTGCGTCTGACGCCAACTGACTGAAAAGCAAAGGGTTGAAATGAGGTGTGGAACCAAGTTGAGCTTGAGTAAGGTTGGTTGGCCTACTGAAGGACTTGGGGCCTCGTGGGACTTGGTTGTCTTGGGAGATATGTGTGCCGGTCAGCTGAGGTGTTGACATGGATGTATACTGGCTGTTGATTAATGACTTCACTTCCCGTGACATAATGGAGCTGCCTGCTCGGACAGGGACACAAAAACAAGTGAACACTAGAAGAGTAGCACTGCTGTGTCTGATCCACTCGTACCAGCGCAACACACACTAACACGCCACCACCACGTCAGTGTCTCTGCAGTGCTGAGAATGATCCACCACCCAAATAGTACCTGCTCTGTGGTGGTCCTGTGGGGATCCTGACCATTTAAGAACAGGGTGAAAGGGGCTAACAAAGTATGCAGAGAAACAGATGGACTACAGTCTGTAATTGTAGAACTAGAAAGTGCTCCTATACGGTCAGTCGAGCTGATAAAATGGACAATGAGTGTAGTTCCAAGAAGGTGTACTTAATAAAGTGGCCCGTCGGTGTATTTGTCATATTTAAAATTGCATTTGGTTTAATGTTTTCATTGTCTATTTTACAGTTAAAAAAACTAAAAAACAAATGCCCCCTAGCAGTACCAGCACAGCCCACTGGGGGGGATGCATAGCCCACAGGCTGATAACCACTGAAGTAGACTGAATTTATAGCAAAATGCAATAACACACTGTAACCAGAATAGTTCATTTCCTGAAAAAAATGCAGTGATTGTGCAGCTTAAATATTTCGAGGAAAGGGTGCTGCCAGACAGTTACTATGATATTTTACATGGTAGCATGGTTGTTGCTAGCTGGTTACTGTGGTATTCCAGGTAGTTGCTAGGGTGTTGCAAGGAAGTTGCGATGGTATTGAAGGGGTTGGCTAGGTGGTTGCTATGATATTCCGCGTAGTTGCTAGCATGTTCCAAGGAGGTTGCTATGGTATCTCAGGTGTTTGCTAATGTGTTGCTAAGTGGTTGCTAAGGTGTTGGTAGGTGGTTGCTAAGGTATTGCTAGGTGGTTGCTATGGTATCACAGATGGTTGCTAAGAAGTTGCTAGGTGGTTGCTATGGTATCAGAGGTGGTTGCTAAGTTGTTGCTAAGTGGGTAGTACAGTATCGCAGGTGGTTGTTTAGTGTTGCTAAGTGGTTCCTATGGTATCACAGATGGTTCCTAAGGTGTTACTAGGTGGTTACTATGGTATCACAGGTGGTTGCTAAGGTGTTGCTAGGCGCTTGCCATGGTATCTGAGGTGGTTGCTTGGGTGTTGCTAGGTGGTTGCTATGGCATCCCAGATGGGTGCTAAGGTGTTGCTGGCCGATTTCTTTGGTATCTCAGGTGATTGCTAAGGTCTTGCTAAGTGCTTGCTGTGGTATCCCCGGCAGTTGCTAAGGAGTTGCTTGGCAGTTGCTATGATGTACAGTGTTTACTGAGTGTTTTTTAAGGGGTTGTGAGGTGCTCCCTAGGTATTGTTCAAAATGAATAGGAGTCTATGGGAGGAACAAGAACTGATCGGGGTCTGCGCTGAGATAGTATGCGAAACAGTGTCTTTTGGTCAAGCAGAAGTACAGTAGATGGGCATGCAATTTTTCACCCCCTTCATTCCTATGGGAAAAAAATCATATAGACATTGTATGAAAACCATACATTTTATCAAAAAGCTATACACAAGCACACCGTTCCCAATCAGACCGAACATTCTAGTTTTGAATGGTGTTGATATCTTGAAAATTGAGGTATGAGTTGGTGGACAAAAATCTGTCAGAAAAATAATAATAATAAGAAAAAACAGCAGAAGAATATAAATCAAACACCAATAGTGTTGTGCATTGCTTTCATCTGTTTGTCATTGCTTTACAATGCACAATCAAAAATTAAATATTAAATAAAATATCAGCCATATATGTGTGTGTCCATATATGTGAAAATAATTGGTGATTATCTGGTTTATGCAAAGTGTCAGTAGCACAGCAGTAGGAAAGCTAAGGTGCAAGCTGGTGAGGTCTGAGGTTTACAATTGTTGGTTAGAGCTGAAGCTGGTGGTAGAAGATTGAGGCTGCGATGTTGCTTTGGTAACAAGAACCAAGTACTCTGTGCTCACAGATGGCTAGATAGCCCCCTAACCCATGATGCTACCAGGCTGGGAGGGTAAAGCTAGCTTGTTCCTTCCTTGAGATCTTTGTAGCTCCACTAAGTCATTGGACAGCTTCACACACTTGGAGGAGAATATTCACTGTCAAATCTGTTATGTCAGCTAACAGACGTCTGGGTTGGATAGCACCTGCACTCCATGCCTCCAGAGAGAGCGAGAGGCCAATAATGTGCTCCTGGACTCTTGGCCATGGATGGCTGTGGTTTTGCAATCTCCCGATGATATTCTATATCATTTAAAAGGCAAATACTAAAACTTCCTCATCTGAGTAGTGAATCTTCATTAGTAAATGCTTAGGAAACCATGCTTTTACATTGCAGTGTGGAAGAGCTTTGCTAACATTAGATAATTATGCATATGCAGATGGAGAGACTCACCAGACTTAGTTGGAAGTTCAGTGATCGGTGGATGTGAGTTAGTGCTTGGTGTTGATTGGCCAAAAACCTTCGACTTTAGTGGAGGGGAGGGGTTAGGCAGAGCGGGGCTGGGAACGGCTGGTCTCCTGAAAGGCTTAGGGCTCATGCGGGTCATAGAAGTGACAGGAGCTTGGGGTGTTGCTGTGGTTACGGACACACAGTTACGTTGACCATCTACAACTGAACCCACTTCCTGTGACAGTGTGGAGTAAACCGAGGAGTATCCCGAGTATTCTACCCAGACGAGAGGAGACACATGGAAGGTCAGTTATAACTAACGGAGATGTTTCATTCTGTACAAGTAGAAGTAATGCGATAAAACTCACCACTTCCAGAAGGCGATTCTGCGCGTCTAGCACGAGAATTCAGCTGAGGCTGTGAGAAGACGCGAGGCATCCCCAGTGACCCCACGTCCTGTGATGCTGGAGAGACATCTGATTGGATAAAAGGGAGGGATATGATGAGTCCTGCTTATTGACAGCCATCACAGAACCCATAAAATACATTTTCCCCAGGTTTTGGAGGCCCCTCGGTAGAACCCAACGCCCTTCAATGTTGGTCGAAAATATGTCAATGGAAATGTGTATGATGTACAAAACCCGTAGCATATTGTATTTTTGTCTTTGAAGGGGAGCGAGTAAGTCAACAACTGTGTGTTGTGTGTCAACATGGCAGTTGTACACCTCCTCTTTCACTCCTCATTGCTTTCTAGCAGCTCAACACTGAGTCCCAACAATTCATACACAGAGAGCCAACAGTGTCGTAGTTAATCTCATAACAGACTCAGGGTAAAACAATTTTTTGACTGCATTTATTAACAGGATAAGTGTCGCTACTCTGCTGGCACAATGGCCAGAAGGGCTGCAGAAAGAGGCTATAATGAATTAACATGTAAGGAAAGTACCAGTCATGTACACGTATACATTACAAGCCCACATTGTGATGCAGTAGGTGTTGATGTCTAGCTGAGCAGTACCCATCTGTGATGATGAAGAAGACAGTGCTTTGTCAGGTTTGGCTGGCCTCCTGTGAGTTCTGGGGCTCATGCGAGTTATAGCAGCTGCAGAAGGCTGGCCAGAAGTCACATGCTGACTGTTTACTGATGGCCTCACTTCCTGAGACATGGAGGAATACACTGAAGAGTAGCCAGAGTATTCTGAGTGAAGAAAAAATATATATTATTCCAGTGAAATCCAAAGCAATGTGTACTGTAAATAAAGGGTGTAACTGAAAAGGGAATTCCACCAATTATTCAAACTTTCTTTGTCCAGTGTTTGCTGTAGAGAAATGTGCTGATTTCTTCATAGTGGTGGTGATAGGAACCAAAGGTCAAGATGTCTACGAAGTAAATATAGCCATTTTATTTGATAAGCAAAATGACCAGTGAGCCTACATGTGTCTACACAAGTTGTGAAGATGGTAAAATAGTGGTAAATGTTGTTACGCCTTTGAGAAAGGTTCTGCATGTTAGTTCTGGCATATTTTTCTTCATATTTGTGACAAAGACTCTTATTATGAAGGAGGGGCTAGCCATCCTTCGCTTTGTTTATGCATTACAACAGGAAGAACTGGTCAGTCGGAGCCTGAAGCGAGTGCAGACATGAGCTTAGTGTAGAGCGAGCTGTTAGCCTACAGCCTTACTTACTGTATGGCATATGGCTAACTAAAGCCTTTAATATAGCACAACAATTTGTCCATAAGCAGTGTGTCTTAGCAGTAAACTCTACAAAATGTTTTCTTTGGGTACTAATTTAACTTACAACACACTGCATGTACTTCATCCTTAATGGATTTTAAAAATACGTTGTAGGCCAAAGCCGTCTCAGCCAATGCGCAACGTATTTGTTACAGTTTCATGTAACCATTTTCTGCGAGGTAGCTTTTAGATGCACTAAACTCCTCCGACGTCTGGTTCCTATCACCACCACTGTGAACGATTCTGACTCTGAGTCAATTCTGAGTATTCTGACAATTCTGATAAAGTTTTCTTAGGATGATTTTTATATGAAACCAATCTACATGACTGTTTACATCTTCATTATTTAAAGATGCATTAGGTAACACTTTTAGTTAAAATGGAAAAAAGTAGCAGCACTGAGTCACGAGGTTAAAATATGGTATATGTGCACTGCTGTGAGTGCCCTGTAAGGCCTGAAATAATGGTTCAAAAGTCAGAGATGTTGGCTTGGTAGTTTTCTAGACCACATCATAACCCAGCTAGCAGGAAACATTCCCAAAACTTAAGCTAACATTACCTACAAGTTCCAATAATGTTTAAAGAAAACCTTTTCATCTAATGTTCAAAGAACGTTTCAAAGATGTTTAACATTTATATTCCTATGAGATTACATGTTAACTAAGACGTAATGTTTTAACCGCAACATTCAGAGGATGTTTTGAAAACATTGTCAGGGAATAAAAAAAAAAACACACTGAAAACATTAATAGAACATGCGTGTAATATTCTCAGAACATTTTTAGGACTAAAAGGTTCTAGCTGGGATGTCATTACGCATTAACGCCACTCAGACAGGTTCAAAAAGAAGGTCCAAATTGATGTTTAAATCTCTAAAACAAAATCAACATTATACCGATGAAGATATAATGACAATAGTAGATAATTCTCTCACATCCGTCCTCTTTCAACACACTCGCAATCATCTGATTCATCCACTCAGGAAAGGGACCCGAAGCACAACCCACTTTACAAAATGTTCTTCCACATGTTGCGTGCAATTACACATTTCAACCAGAGAGGTCTCCAAATCCCCAAAAACTTACATAGCGCAGCTTTAATTATACAGAAATGTTGAAAAATGTCTGAAATTCCCATCAGAGTAAAAGTCATGCATTTGATTTACCACTTCCAGATGGAGACTCTGCACGTCTGCTTAGGGAACCAATGGACAGCTGAGGCTGTGAGAAAGTACGAGAGACTGCAGGTGGGTTGCCCACACTTGACTTCGCTTCCTGTTGAGCTGGAGAAGCATCTGGTTGAACACAAAAACCGATTTCTGTTTAATGCACAGTCAAGAGCAAAGGAAGGTAAAAAAAAAAAAAAACATATGCTCACATTGGGTTGTGGTTGGTGGTAAAGCTGAGTACTGAGCTCGGCTGAGCTGTGAGGTTATATTCGAAGACTGTGCACTGTTTAGTTCGGCTGCTGAGAGCTGAATAACAGATTGGGCACGACTGAAAGTGGTAGCTGAGTTCTGGGTAGGGTGGTAAGTCATCAGTCTTCTGGGTATCTGAGGGCTTATTCGCGTCATGGAGGACACAGGAGACTGAGGAGTAGCCGTGGTGGGAGACTCTTGATACACGTTACTGAAGGTGGATTTATCAGAACCTGAAGAGTTATCTGGTGGAACAACATACAAGAAAGACATTACATTAGGGGTGGGAATTTGTAGACACCTCCTTCTCTCTCTCACTCTCTTTGGCAAAAAAGCAACTGGCTGGGAATGTTAAATAACCTAAAATGTCTAACATACATCTCCTGCCCTCAGTGTCCTCATTCTGAAAACCAATATATGGTCACCCTACTCGCACATGCGTAGGCAGCGTGTTGGGTTGATTGGGGGGCTTGTGGGGGCATGTCATTCTCTGGCTGCGTCTCATATACTTTACTAACTAGCATGTGAAATTAGCAAACCACCAGTAGTGCCTTTACTATTTTAAACCTACTATGTCGTACACTAGTATGTGAGTTAGGCTGCATATTGGATTCAGGATAAAAAGGTAAATAAAACAGTTATTTCTCAGTTACAGCTAATGTAAAATCTATTGAATATGCATAATCATCATCTGATTTATGCATCTGTTAGCCTATAGAAGACATTGTTTTCTCATGGTTTCAAAGGTGTTACCCCATGCAAGAACAAATAACTGGTTATAAGTAAGATATGTAATCAGTTACTGATAGTATTTGTATAATGCAGTTTTAAAGTTGGGCGGTGTGGTCGCCTCACAGCAAGAAGGGCCTGGGTTCGATTCCCCGGCTGGGTGACCAGGGTCCTTTCTGTGTGGAGTTTGTATGTTCTCCTTGTGTCTGTGTCCAAAGACATGCAGTCAGGCTAATTAGAGATGCTGAACGGTCCCTGGGTGTAAGTGTGAATTTGTAACGGACTGATGACCTGTCCAGGGTTTCCTGCCTTTCACCCAGTGAGCGCTGGGATAGGCTCCAGCACCGACACAGCGGCTAAGATGATGATGATGAGCATTGTAGGATTAGTTCCTAGGGAGAACATGTTATGTCAACTCACCAGGCTTAGGAGTGACAGGCGTTGGTGAAGGTGCAGCTAATTGGCTAAACAGTACTTTCTTTGTGGTTGTAGGGGATTTGGTAGGATTCAGGCAGGTGGAACCAGGCTGAGCGGGGTTGAAATTAGAAGTAATAGATAGTGTGGGCTTCAGGTTGGTGGACAGAAGCTAAGCTGGGATGACACTGGTTGGTTTAGTCTGAGAATTTGCGCTCATGTTAACATTTAAATTTGATGGAGGCAGATTTGAAGATGAGTCATTAACTTGAGAACCTGCCAGTTCATAATGGTGGGCGTCCACCATTTGGACTGAAGAGATACAGCTGCATTAGTATGAAATACATTTAAACAACCAAGCCAGGAGTAACTCTTTTACATCACTTACCAGATCTAAGTTGTGACCCGACAGCTGGTCTTGGTGTTGATGCTGATTTGAATGGAGTCGGGCTTTGGTTGGTTGATCTCAGCGAATTGGGGCTCATAGGAACAGTCATAGTGCTTAGAGGTTGTTGTTGTGGTGGAGTTACAGCAACTGAATCTTCCTGTTGAGCGATTGATCTGGCTGCTCGAGAATGATCTAGAAGATACAGAAATATTTCAGCAACAAATGACAAATGAGTGTTGATAAAGGAAAAACAAAGAAAGGTTTTTTATTCACCATCTCTAAAGGAGGGCCCAAAAGTTCTTGTAGAAGAGGCAGCCACCTGAGAAGTCACAGAGAAGGGAGCAACATGGTGGCTGCTTACAGATCCACTGGATTCAGAAGCTGTTTGGCCAAAAGTTGTTGGCTGTCTCATAACCACAGGTGAGACTCTAGATGTTGATTTAAATGGAGTAGGGCTTTGGTTGGTGGATCTCAGAGATTTGGGGCTCATTGGTACAGTCATAGTGCTGACCGGTTGCTGTGGTATTGTCATGGTTATCAAGTCTGACTGAACGTTGACTGTCGGCCTGATTACTTGTGATGACAGTACGCGTTCTGGGAGAAACAGAGGAGGGACAAATGTAGCAGAGGTTTCAGAATCTCTTGAACATTAACAGACAGAGAACTTTAATCTTCACCAGAAAGAGAAAAGGGAAAAAAGGAAAAGCACTCACCGGTTTTAAAGGAAGAATCTGATAATTTGGTTGTGGCACTGTCAGGCTGTTTAATAGTGAAAGGGGTGACATGATGATCACTTGCAGATGTATCTGATGGTGCCTCGCTGAATGATACTGACTGTTTCAGAGCGCTTTGATTGGTTGCTTGTGCAGATTTAAGACTCATTGCAGGGCCATTTTCCAGAAAGCTGACCTTAGACTTTTTTTCGTGGGACTCCAGGGTGTTTTCTGATTTGAAGCAAGGTTAGCAGGATGAGATGAAAGGATAGCATTTGGGAAAAAGAAGAGATGAAAGATGAAGAGGACATATAAAAAAATGTGTGGCATTTACTTACTTGGTGTGAGAAAATGATCCCAATGCCTGGCCACAACTTAGTAAGACATGGGAAGGAAATAATTAAGTTGTGGCCACAACTTAGTAGGTGTGGGAACAAGATAGTTAAGCCATAGCCACATCTTAGAAAGGCATGGGAACAAGACAATTAATTTGTGGCCAAAAATTAGTAAAGTGTGGGAACAAGATAATTAAGTCATGGCCACAACTTAATAAAGTTGAAAGAAGAAATAAAGAAATGAGATAATTAATTTGTGGCCACAACGTATTTTCTTGTTTCTTACCAATAATGGCATATTATGTCATGATCATAACTTAGCAGGGCAAGGGAATGAGATAATGTGCAGCTACAACTTAGTAAGTTGTGGAAACAAGCTAATTAAGTTGTTACCACAACTTAATTATCTCTTTCCCACACCTTGATAAGTTGTGGAAACAACTTAATTGTCTTCTTTCCTTTCTTTAAGTTATGTATGTGACATAGTAGTACAAAGGAAAAAAAGATAATTAATGTGTGGCTACAACCCAGCAAGTTGTGGGAACACGATAATTAAGTCATGGCCACAATTTGATAAAGTTTGGAAAAGAGATAATTAACTTGTGGCCACAACTTAGTAAAGTGTGGGAACTGGATATTTAAGTTGTGAATGTCAATATGATTGGATGTGTAGAAAAAGGAGAAGGGGGGGGGGGTACCTGCTACACTTACCATTAACAAAGGTAGACATTCCTGTAACTGCCTTTGGTGTGAGGTTCTCAGATGTTGATTGATCAATCTCTGTTTGCTGTTGCATCATGTTCGTTGTAGAGCTCAGGTTCATTGATGTTCTTGAGTACCTTTGGCCTATGGGATCAGTCATATCACCAAACGGTTGCACTGTTGTTGCCAAGGTAGCATCTGGTGTCTGCTGGCTGTTTTTCTCTGACTTTACTTCCAGCCCTTCCAAAGACTTCTCTGGTTTAAAAGAGAGAAACAACATAAGATCTACAGAATCTCCAGAATCTCCAAATTCACTTCACTCAGTTACAAGATGGGATTTGGTGGTTAGCTCTGGTGAAGAGATACCTGTAGCTGATTGGCTAAACTGAACTGGTGGTGGTATGGTCTTGTTAAGAGTAGAGCTCAGGTTGGTTTGTGTCCTCCAAGTCTTCAGAGACCTGGGGCTTAATGGACCTTGAGATGTTTGGGGCCCTGCTACTGAAACAGTGGACATAGTTTGGCTGCTGGTTGATGACTTCATTTCCTGGCTCTCTAAAGATGAAGGAGAAGCAGATAACAGGTTTTTAGAGCTGAGGCACTTCAGCAGTATGTTATGCCTGTTGTTCGACATTCAGGAATTAGCCTGTACACTTTGAGTCTGTTTCCTGGACAGAGATTAAACTTAGTCCTGGACTAGATTTTCCATTTGGTTTGTTTCTTGCAGAATCTCCGTTCAGAATGATGTGCAGTCCAGGACTAGGTTTAAACCAACCCTACATCTCCAAACATAATCAGATGCCCCCTTTGCTGAGACATGTGTTCAGTTGCAAAAACATCTTGTACAATCTTCATATAAAGGAGTTGCCAAAAGAAGCCTGAGGTCACCATGCTCAATGCCAAGCGTGACCTTAAGCAGTATAAAGCTCCCAAAGCATTGGGCAGTAAAACTCTGGAGTGATGGAGCTCCGTTCAGTACCTCTGGAATGAGTTGGAGTGATCCACAACTAACCATCCAACATCAGTACCTGACCTCACTAATGCTATTGTGGCCGAATGCAATCAAATCCTCACAGCAATGCTTTAACATCTAATGCAAAGCTTTCCCAGAAAAGTAGAGGGCGGTACTGCAGCAAAGGAGGACAAACTTTCTATTAATACCCCTGATTTCAGGAGAAATGTTGGATAAACAGATATCTACAACCTTCTGGACACATAGTATATATCACTGTCCAGTACTTACATGGCAGCAATGGACATCTGAAGGTAACTCACCAGTTGCCAGGGCAGATTCTATGACTGTATTCCTTGTAGGCATATCTGAAGCTGACTGGTTGAACATCAGCGTTGTGGAAGACTGTGCAAGGCTTTGGCTGGTCAGAGTAGTCTGGGCACGATTATCACTGGTAGTCGTGTGTGATTTGGATCTCATATGAACAGCTAGATCTCTCGCTCTGCTCATTGCAGTCACAGGGCGCTGTCTGGGAGTCATGCCTACCGATGTTGACACTGAAGAGTATCCAGAATATCCAGAGTATCCTGAATATTCTTCAGAGAGGTCAGGAAAATACAGAGTCAGCAGCTGAATAGTGTAAAAGGCTAAGAGAGAGAATGAGGTTAAATTGAAAGAGAGAGTTTCGCCCACCGCTTCCTACAGGTGACTCAGGTCTAGGCACTGTGTTAAGAGGTAGTTGTTGAGGGGGTGTCATGGTTAGAGAGTCTGCAAGCTCGCTCCTGACCAGTGGCACCACTTCCTCTGATTCTTGAAAGGAATTTAATTGGACAAAAGAACATTACAGTCATTTTAAGCTATGCTTTATGAAGTGGAGCTAACTCTGACTCAAACTGCACAAACACACACAGTCACCTTGCTCTTTTTCAGGTTTATTCTCCAGCCCAGCTGAAGTTAAAGGGTCTTGCTTCTCTTCTTCTTCCACCTCCACCTCCTCCTGCTCCTCTTCCTTTCTGCTTATCAGCTATAGGAAACAGAAAGAGATTATGTTGGCTTTCATGCATCTGCTCTAAGGAGAGACTGCAGGTCTGGATGCACACATGGTGGTAGCATGAGGGAAGACTGACTGAGGGAGGAGAGAGAACTCTGAGAACTTAGGCTGGAGTTCTGGGCAGCTTCTGTCTGTAGCTAGAAGGCCAGACCCCCCTCATAGCTAAAGTAGGACTAATACAGACTGAGGAACTAGGAGGAGATGGGGTGGTGGTGGGGATTGCGAACCCTTTGTCAGTGGAACGTAAGGTGAGGATGTGAATTCGTAGGATGTAAGACTGGAACAAGGAGGGGTTTCAGGCATGCTCCGCCCCCCAAACTTAAGTTATAACATAACTACACTTAAAATGAAATGGTTCTTGGGATCCTAAGTGGCGCGACCATCTAAGTGTTGGCCTTGTCATAAATTTAGTCCCCAGTGATGCTACAGCCATCCATGGCCAGGAGTGTACGTGGGTGGGATGATCAAATTAAAGGCCACTGGGCACGAATGCTTGGTGGCCCCTACCTGGCTACCTTTTTTGGGTGGTCAGTGGCTGTTTTATGATATCAGGTTAAACAAGACCAATGCAACACCACGATGGCAGCATACTAAGAACAGAACTGAGAGTTGGCATTTTTCTCCAGGTTCAGCTCCAATTTTGTTGCATTATTGGCAGTTCACCCTCCCAGATTGGTAGCTAAATGGTTCTTAGCTTGGACGTATGGTTCCAGGAAAAAAATTTTTTATATTTTATAATATTTAATATTATATTTGAAGCTCTTTAAACTTGTAAAAGGTCATACCTGGGCATATCATTTCACTCCTCTTTCTCCTCTTTCTCCCCCTAGTGGCTATTCCAGCCATGGAACAGAAACAGTCTTGATGGCAGCAGGTCACTAGCTTAAACTTAAACAACAGTTTTCGCATAACATTTGGTTATGGTTTTTGCACACATTTTCTCTATGCTACACCCAAATTCAAATATCTGACCACGCTACACAAGAGAAAAGAGAAGAGAGAATGAGCTAAACAGAAAGCATTACTGTCAGTGGCGTGATCTATCTCATAACATCAGTGTGAATGGACAGAGCTAAACTGCTGTAGGCAGACCCGGATCATCAAGTTAAAGGCCCCTGGGCACTAAAATTTGTTGGGCCCCTACTTGGCTACTTTTTTGGGTGATCAGTGATATTTTTATGATCACAGCAGGATACACAAGGCCTATGCAACACCATGATGGCAACACACTAAGCATGGTGTTGAGCATGTGACCACAATAAAGTAAAGAGACAAAACAATAGCAATAACAACAGGTTGTGCACACATAACGAGAGCACAGCTCAACATAAACCTAACAACCAATGCAATACTTTACTAAAAAGAATCTGCTCTTGACAAGCACGGCATTTACTCCAAAGAAGATGACAAATTGAAATCAACCAGTAAACTTAAAAAAACAAAACCAGCATCCTGGCTAAAGCATACTGCCAAAAGTGAGCAGGAAATTCCTTTTTCCTCTTATATCTTACCTCTAATCACAGTTCACTGGTGACAAAGATGATGCAACTTTTCTCTTTAGCTTATGAGGTTGACATTTTATAGTTGTCTGTGGAAATGGTCATCCTCTACTCTGCCAAAGTATCAGGTCTCACTTTCACAGATCCCCCCAGGCACATTTTATGAAATTTATGGAGCTTCAGATTCAAAATACATTCAACTAATGCTAGCTCACTGCTAAAAAAAACCTGAAAATTTGACTGAAGTTTTGGTGGATAGCTGAACGGTTGCTAAGCAGTGATTGGAGGAGAAAATGAAATGAACATTGAGGCAAGCGTGGAGAGTGTCAGGATCATGACTGGCCATATCACAATGACACATTAGTTCCTTTTTTTTACATTGTGCCGCTAGTAAAGTACCCACCGCAAGTCAAAACAGCTATTTGGATTTTCTCATAATTGCTTGGGGGGCCCCCTAGTGGCTCGGGCCCCTTGGGTGATCCAGGCCTGGCTGTAGGCTGAACAGGTGTATATATAGAAATATGCTGTTTTTTGTAACATCACAGAAACAATGAATTAAAAACTGGCTGCTTAGTTTCCATATATGGACTCTAAGGACCAAAGATTGAATGACACATTTTTGAAACTAGTATTGTTTAAATGCTACATCAAATTCTTTTAGTTCAATCAAATAAGCAACATTCAGTTTCCATGAAATGGGCGTTTTAAACATCAGATTTCCATTGGCTCCATTGGAGTAGGTCTATTTTCGACCATGTACATTTCGGTAACATTCTCTTAATAGGATTTTGCTGTCAAGTGTAAATATATGTACATGCCTATTTATATGAATGTCATGTAATTTTATATTCTTGATATTTATAGAATCATGAGATGTTTTCTGGCTCTGTTATATTTTGACCTATAACGACCAAGGCTGTTTTAGAAATATTATTTGTACCCATTATGTTATTTTTTTATATACATACATTCTTCTGGAAACTTGTGGGCTCATATCAGAACTCTTGAGTCTTGTTCTGTGTGTGTGTGTGTGTGTGTGTGTGTGTGTGTGTGTGTGTGCATGTGTGTGTGGGTGTGTAGAGCCGGGAACAGCTGGTGGCGCCCCCGATGAGGAAAGAGAGATAGAATACAGCAACCCAAACGGAAACTTGTGTGAGTGTGAGACGCTCAAAGGAACTCCCCCTCATAAGTTCTAAAGAAAGCCACTGAAACCCCTCTACGTCGTCTTAAGTCCCAGCCTGGAGTGACACTAAGTGTGTGTGCTGGTGTCTGTAGGTTGATTGCTAACTGCTCAGTTTTCCCCTTTACCCAAAAGCAGCAAACTTCAATAAATCAAAATTATACTTGAAGTACATAGAGAATACTAGTACATTTTTATTTAATGTTTTTTATGGAAATATGTATATGTCCTGTATTTTTCAAAAGTAATTTTTAAAATTAAAAACAAATAAATAAATTATACACTTCAAATTGTACTTTAGTATGCTGTAAGGAAATACAACTATTCATAAATCATAATTAAATATCAGCATATTTATTTTAATCTTCAGCTTAAGTGTATTTATGAACTGTATTACAAGGTGCTGACATTTAAATTATGCTTAAGTACATTTTGGTTGCATTTTAGTTGCAAGATTACCCAAAATAACCAGCATTCAATTATGAATATAACTTTCAAATATTTTTCAAGTGTAGTTCAATTCAATTTGAGTCTTAACTATTTCTTAAGTTAACTTTATTGCAACATAAGTTGTTCTGATTTAGAACAGAAGAGCACTTGTAGATTGTATTTAAAAGTTACCTACCTATAATTAAAGTACATATAAGTTTATTTTTAGTTATTCCAACATAACATATTTAAGTCTATACTTAAATACACTCAAGTACATGTTTTATTTGTTGAACTTATTTGTTTATTGATATTAAAATATAATTTAAAATGCATTTAAGTGCATTTTTTGTCATAGTATAACTCAATAAGTATCACTGAAGTTTATCAGTACATCCAGCAGTATATTTACAATATATTCCAAGTATAATAACAGTTACGTCTACAAATTACATACTTAAACTAAAGAAAATACACAAAGTGACAACAAAATGCATTGAATATATATTCATCCATAGCTTGATTACCATTTAAATACACTCATGTTGTCATTTAATATGCATGAAGGTATGTTTAGTGTAAACATTATATATATGTATTTCCAAAAATTATGTATATCCTTTTTGGAAAAAGCATACTTAAATCTATTTTAAGTGTTATTGTGTAGTTCTGCAGTTGTTGTCATGCCCATATTAGAAAACTCTGCTTCCTGTGGTAAACTAAAAAATAGTACATTTCGCTCTATGGATATTCTTTCACCAAATTACACCAGATCGTCTGAATTATGAGGCTTTTAAGAAGCCAAAATATGCCTATTGCTAAACAGCTGACACCGCTGTTCAATGAATTAACATAAAAAGACTGGCAACCTACTAGCAAGCTTTGTAAAAAAAAAAGTTGCCTTGGCAGTACTAGTCTGAGTTTGAGTAGGTGGTGTTGGTATACACTATATGGCCAAAAGTATGTGGACAGCCCTCTTAATTATTGAGTTCAGGTGTTTCAGCCACACCTTTTGCTAACAGATGTATAAAATCAAGCACTTAGTCGTGCAATCTCTATAGACAAACAGTGGCAGTAGAATGAGCCATACTGAAGAGCTTAGTGACTAAACATCGTACTGTAATAGGATGCCACCTCTGCCACAAGTCAGTTCCTGAAATTTCTGCCCTGCTAGATCTGCCCCAGTCAACTGTAAGTGCTAATAAATGGAAGCACCCAGCCGCAACAACCCAGCCATGAAATGGTAGACCACACAAATTCATGGAGTGGGGCCATCCAGTGCTGAAGCACAGACTTATAAACTGCCTTTGGAAGCAACATCAGCACAAGAACTGTTCTTAAGGAGCTTAATAAAATGGGTTTCCATGGCTGAACAGCTGCACACAAGTCAAGATTACTGTTGGCTAGAGTGGTGTAACTTATGCCTCTACTGGACTCTGGAGCAGTGGAAATGTGTTCTCTGGAGTGATGAATCACCCTTTACTACCTAGCAGTCTGACTGATGGACCTGGGCTTGGTGAATCTCAGGAGAATGCTGCCTGCCAGAATGCGTAGTGCCGACAGTAGAGTTTGGTGGAGGGGGGAAAATGGGCTGGGGCCATTTTTCAGGATTTGGGCACCTTACTTCCAGGAAAGGGTAATGTTAATGCTACAGCACACAAAGACATTTTAGGTAATTTCGCTTCCAACTTTGTTGCAACAGTTCGGAGAAGGTCCTTTCCTGTTCTAGCATTACTCTGGCCCCTGCACAAAGTGAGGTCAATCACGACATGGTTTGATGAGTTTGGTGTGGAGGAACTCCAGTGGCCTGCACAGAGCTCTGACCCCAACCCCACTGAACACCTTTAAGATGAACTGGAATATCGATTGGGAGCCAGGCCTTTTCATCCAGCATCGGAGCGTGACCTCACAATTAACTGAATTGGCACAAATTCCCACAGAAACACTTCATAATCTTTCGGAAAGTCATCACAGAAGAGCAGAGACCGTTGTAGTGCAGAAGGGAACCAACTCCATGGTTTTGGAAAGGGATGTCCAACAATCTCATTATGTGTGATGGTCAGGTGTTCTCATACTTTTGGCCATATAGAGTATAACAGACTTTCCATAATTTCCGTCTGTGATAGTACTGTGTGATATTTTTACCATGTCGCCCACTCTTAGGAGCATGAAAGGAGAAGGACACCATCCAGAGCTAAATCTTGGAGGAACAGGACATCAATCAGCCCTTCTAAAAATACATGAGGCATTTTAGGGGCAGCTAAAGAAAGAGAGAGCAAGATCTGTAAGACTGATCACTACATGACATCTGGCGAGTGAGAGGAGCACGAGTGTATGTTTCACAGCACATTCCACTGTGAAGCCACACCATGTTAAAGATGAGTTAACCCTTAAAACCCTGTCAGGATGCTGGGAACCAAGTTGGGCACATTTTATTTAAATTAATGCCAAAAGTGGAAAAACAGCACAGATTAGCATGAATTACATGACGGTTTATGCTGGTTCATTCTGCTCTTTTAACTTTTAGTTTTCTAAGTAAACCTAAGCTACATAGGCCCATTGAAATCACATACATTTTCATTAGTTTAGCATTTAAAGCACAAGCTAACGAAGTCTTGTGGTTCAGCAGCAGAGGGAAGAACGAAGCTTCTAGTGCCCCCTAGAGGTCTCTATAAAAAGCACCGCCCATTAATGCTGAAGTTATGAAAAGTGTTTCAGCCTGGACTGATTTTGGTGATGCACAACACAGATCAGCCAATCAGAACAGAGCTCATTTATATATATATATCAGTCTTAAAGTCACAGCAACAAAAATAGCCAGTTTAATTGTAAGTGGTAAAGAGAGGTTTGAAAATGGTCATATAGGAATGATTAGATTTTGATTTTATAGAACTCAGAACTGTACTGCAGGGATGGAAGACCATTATTATTATAAGATATTCCCTTGATTGTTTTGATGATGGGGGTGGAGAGCGCATCAGTCCTAATTCTCCTATAGGCGTTCAACTGGGTTGAGATCTGCTTACTGCAAAGCTCATTACATATGATTTACCTCATTTTCATACTCATCAAACCACTCAGTTACCCCTCATACCTTGTGAACGAGGGCATTGTCATGTAAAAATAAGTTAACACATCCTCTACATGGAGCAAATTTAAATATGTGCCATAGCTTTTGCACAGGCCACATGTTATTCTTTATTTTTCCCAATATGTTAAATTCAGTAAATGAACAGTAACTGTGCAGAAGTGCACTCTGTAGAGGACTTCTATTATATGTAATTTGACCAGGGTTCCAAACATTTACGAGTGAGCAGACAGTGGGATTAAAAAGCTCAGGACCTGGTAAATGATGATGTAAATGCTCTGTTAGTCCAGAATAAAACACCACAAGGACCAATAGGATCATCTGCACAGTTACCTGTCATAAAGCAAATGAGGAACTTCTCCACAGCAGAATACACTGACACTGTAGATACAGTTATATACTGAGATTTGTGCAAGATATATATTATCCCTGTGTGTTTGCAAGCTGTAGATAGCAGGCCTGTGAAACTACTCAGAATATGCAGTGGCGAATGCAGGAATACATTTTTAGGTAGGCCTGTGGAAAAGTATGAAGGCCAACTTGGTAGATGCTTCCAAGTGCGCCATGTCCCATAATGTCAACATCAGGCTACAGCGTATTGTAAACAGCAGTGCAGTCATCATCCTACCTACCTCTTTCAATGCTTACACACTATGCAGATACAAAAAAATAGCAAGACTGTGTATCCATCTACCAAAATACTGGATTCACAAGGAACAGTGCAGCACCCTTGACTATAAAGCACATATACGCTTGATGTAAACATAACAGCATTAAGATCAGACAGTGGACATGTCAAGAAAAAACAACACACAAACTTAAAACCTTTATCTTTTTATGACTCAATGCATATATGTATATAGATATTAATATTAACATTTTGACAGCCCGTTTTAGCTTTTGTAGTAAAAGAGCATTAAAGTACCAAAGCCGCTGACCATTTACGACAAAGATGCTTTTAATTTTGTTCTAGGCTTAAAAATGCATAGAAAATGTCGTGCTTGACTCTATCGGAGATGGGACCTCACTTCTATAGATGTCCAGGTACATCTTTTGACCATAACTGACAAATCAAATACAAACACTGCTGTGCTGATAAAAAGACTTGAGGCAATGGTGGGTAGCTAAGCACTCACTGAAAGCAAATTTCATTGTTTTAAAAAACGCAGCCGAATCAATATTATTTCCCCATTTGATTAGGTATGCCTGGGAACAATCTGGGAAGGCCCAGGCCTATCCGTGGCCACACTCCTGACCGCATGATGTTTGCATGCAGAGGACAGTGGTAGATCTATAGATCTATATGCCACCTATAATGGTAACACAGCTCTGAATGAAGCCTGATAAATGATCACGGTTGTGCTGTTGGTGACTTTAAGGATGTTCTCCGTAACATTTTTCAGAACAGAAAATTTTTTCCATATCATTTCAAACATCATTTCAAAGTTCTGTACTGCAAATGGGCCTGACTGATCAACACTGATCTATTATAGCACATACTGCACGAACGAAGAACAACTTACACTGGCCTGATAACTGGTATCCATGATAACAGTGGATGCAGAAGTGGAGCTCCTGGAGGAGGTAGATACCGAATCCACACACACAGATCCAGAGGCCGAGTAGGTGCTGTTCTGGTCATCCATCGCACCTTCTTCTATGGGGGATGCTGTTCCTGGGAAGCAGCTTTGACCCCCCTGGCTCTGGGTTTGGCCTTGGGCTTGGGCTTGGACTTGGCTGGTTTGGAGAGGCTGGAGATCATCAAGGCTCTTTTGGAAACTTGCTGGGATCTGTGTGCCAGGCAGGGTTTCCACCAGTCGTGCAAGAGCCTCTAGCCTCTCCTTCAGCTGCTGGTTCTCTTCCTGGAGCTTGGCAACCGTGTTGGCCAGGGGTTCCGCATCTTTGCAGGCTTCGTCCAGACGCTGCTCAACGACCCGCTTGAAAGCAGCAACATCAACGTGGAGATCACGTACGACCAGCCGCAGCGCTCGCTCGAAGCGAGCCAGGAGGGCGTGGCCATCCTCACCCGATCCTCCTGCTGCTGTTGCTGGGCCCAGCTCCATCACGCCCAAGCCCAGGTGGGAAGTGTAGGTGTGGGGCTTGTTGTGTTGTTTGTTGTCCCGCCAGCGGGTAAATGAGCTCTGAATACTCAGACCAGGCTCTTCCTTTGCCTCCTCGACCCCCTCCAGACCCACAGGGCAATGTGACCATGTCAGGTGACAGGGGAAGGAGGGGGAAGAGGGAGAGTGTGAGAGATGGAAGGGTAAACAGGGAGAAGATGACTTGGTTCCCTGCAAGTGGGCTAATTTTAGAGTGTATGTGCTGTCTGGCAGGCTGCTGCTAGTCTTAACGCTCCTTTGGGGGGATAGACATTAGAAGGGCACTGAGAGACAGATTAAAATCTCATTATGTCAAGAAACTAAGCACAGTGTGAGATCAGAGTGAATAGGTCAAGCGTTAGGGATGTTCTTTTCAATGGACTGAACGTTCCAGACACCGTTTATGATGGACAACTCAGAACAGGTGCACATGAAATTCAGACCTATCAGTGATTACTATGAAGGGAAAAAGTCAAAGACCACCCTTCCACAACCACCCTTTAATTTTCCATTTTCAGGAGAAACAGCCGTTAACTACAAGACATTTTTCAGCATCGGAGAGAAAAAGCATCAACAGAAAATTACACAATACTCCTCAACAGCTAACTACAATGTAAATTTTCCACTGGGTCACTGTGTTTATTTGCTATGTCCACTCTTTGCCTTTATTACAGCTTCTTTTCAGGAGATTTGCTTTCAGTTTTTCAAAGAATCTGCAGGGATGTTTTTTCTTCTTAGAAGTTGCTTTCCATTTTACGTAATCCCAAATAGGAATTTGGACTCATTATTCCAAAACTTTACTCCACATCTGAAGGAAGAGTGGAGCTTGATTTTCTCCTCTACGAAAGCTTTAGGTGCTGTTTATCTGATGGGGACAGTTTTAGTGGTCTACCTGGTCTAGCACCGCTGTAAAGAGTCCCATTTTCTTTGAATCTTGTGATAGTTTTCATGAACTCCAGTCTTGGAAAGTCTTTCATTTATTTCCTTTTGACCTTCCTTATGCAAGAATAATATTAAGGTATCTACTTATGTATATGTAAATATCTCTGCTGTCGGGCGAAAACCTCTTGTTTCCATTTTTGTCGTTTTTCAGTTTTTGACATAATTTGAAAATGCCTGTTGCCCTTTACATTGTTTGTGTATTTCATGATGAATGGACCAAAAGAAATGACCCAAAATGACTTCGAAAAAAGTCTGGTTCCATTGACTTACATTGAAAGTAAAGAAGGTTTTTTCCTTCTCCTGTAAAGTTACCAATTTGGAGAGGTTTTGTTCCAACAACAGTGATATATATATATTTTAAAAACAGAATATATATATATATCGTCAATATATCAATATACATATCTTAAATTTTTTGTAAGCATGCATGAGACTTACTAGTATGAGGAAGAGAGACAGAAAGGGAAATCAAAGCTCTTATGCAACTACGCTGTCAGACAACATCAACTAAACATAGTATTAAACTCTAACTTTCCACTTTATTAGATGCACCTGTCTTCCACTCACTGGCCATTTTATGAGCTCCACCTACCTTAGAGTAGCTCATTTGTTGTCATTGGTCAGTTTCTGATCACAGGACTGCTTCTCAGCACAGCAGTGACACTGACAAGGTAGTGGCCGGGTAATGTGTTTGGTGCTGGTACAAGCGTATCATGCTCACTGGCATTGCTGGGGTTTCTGCAGGGCTAGAGGATGGCTAACATACTGTACATACCAGAAGAATGAAGTCTCTTACTCTACAGCTAGGTGGCCATAAGACTGGTGCTTTTTTGCCCAATTTTCTCCTCAATTTCATCATGTTCAAAGGCCAGCACATGCTTCCTCTGAGACATGTTGACCACCATTGCATCTTTTAATAGTTCTGCGAATGCAGCGTCATTGTACAGCTCAAAACACTGCCCTGCTGAAAAACTGGTTTATGCTGGTTTAGTACTGGTCAGATGTTGGTTTAGCTGGTCCATTCTGTTACATCAGTTAACAGAAATCCATCTTTCATTGCACTGAGTGATAAAGGGCCATCCTACGCACTGAGTGTGCGAGGTATATCCTACCTCAGTAACTGCTGTGCTCACGTATGTTATCTGACTGCGTTTACTCACAGATCACAGCATGTTAAATAATCTTTGCATCCTATTCCACAACCCTACCTCTTGCTCAGAAATGAGTGCTGTGTCGGTGCTGTACTGTCCTGTCTGTTTACTGTGTCTAATGTCTGTTTTATTTTTACATTTATTGTATTTCTAGTCTATTTTTTTTTGCACACTTACGTCTGCACGTTGCACTTTGTACTGTCTATTTTGTTTCATGTTGCACGTTGTTCCTTGGAGGAGCGTAATTTCACTCCACTGTCTACTTGTACATAGATGGAATGACAATAAAAGCCTCTTGACTTGATTTGAAGAGCCTACGCTAAGATCGGGGTGGGGACAGCACAATTTGGTGATTTCCTGCTCTAGCACACCAATCAAATCTGGGGATAAAATGAAAAGTTGAATCAGGTGTGCTTAAATCAGAAAATCCCCAACTGTGCTTAATAGGACTTCATTTTAAGTTTTAGCCAGCATTAAGCATTAGCTAAAGATCTGGTACACCCTAAATGGTTGGGTTAAAGTCTCAAATGAGAACGAGCCTTTTACTCCATTCACTAATTTATTTTAGCATGAAATTGGGATGGGCGGCACGGTGGCGCAGTGGGTAGCGCTGTCGCCTCACAGCAAGAAGGGCCTGGGTTCGATTCCCGGCCGGGTGACCAGGGTCATTTCTGTGTGGAGTTTGCATGTTCTCCCCGTGTCTGCGTGGGTTTCCTCCGGGTACTCCGGTTTCCTCCCACAGTCCAAAAACATGCAGTCAGGCCAATTGGACATGCTAAATTTGCCCCTAGGTGTGAATGTGTATGTCTGTCTGCCCTGCGATGGACTGGCGACCTGTCCAGGGTGTATCCTGCCTTCCGCCCAACGACAGCTGGGATAGGCTCCAGCACCCCACCGCGACCCAGAAGGATAAGCGGTTTAGATGATGGATGGATGGATGGATAAAATTGGGATTAGGTTAACCTGTTAACAAGCCAAGTTTTATTACACACTTCTATTACCTAAGAATATCTCCATTAGTTTGCATTGAAGTAGCTGTAGTTACTAAATAATAAGACTTTGTATGAAATAAACCTGGATTAGTAATGGGGTTATCTTTTTATTCAAATTAACTCTTTGCTTAATAGACAGTATTTTTGTTGTACTAGCTGGAATGTGGAAAGCATATAAAGAAATGCTACCATAACATTTAAACAAGTGTACAGCAGTAAAACGTTCCAGGTGAGTTCAAAGATTACATGTGTTCTGTAAAGGTGTAAATACCACCACACATGTTGGAGGATATTTTTAATTTAGAATTTCTAAAAGCAATTTTTACCTGTAATTACTTTTTGGTCAGTACCTGTGATGGTGGAAAAACTAAACACACTGGAATAAACAAGAAACTAACAGAATACAATTCAGCAAACAAGATGGGCTATGAAATACTTTACAGAGACTGGAATAAAACAGGATTCAGATTAATCTGATAAATATTGAAAAAGCTGAGCTGAACCTGATAGTGTGACAGATTTTGGCTCTATCTGTAATGCAAGGGGGTATTACTTTTTTTGGTGAAAGGAACTGCAAGTGTTAAAGTATATTTGGTACAGTGTTCAGAGATTTATTGCTTTACCTTTTTTATTTATTTTCAAAACTGTGGTATAAAACCATCATGGCTGTGATGGTACTTACCTTCAGCTCATGCCTGCAACCAAATCACAACCGTGATGTTATTTGCGATAACACACTCCTTCTTGAGCTCTATTGCTTAAGAAACCTAGAAGAGGTGATAATAAATTACTTCAGAAGTTATTTGACTGCTAATTGCGCCCCCTGTAGGAAAGTTTCAGCCTGCTAAACATGATTGAGTGAGTGAGGGAGTACTTTAAAGATAAAACCATTACCATTGAGACTGGCAGTTTAGAGACATTATCTGGTTTGAAAATCCTTCTTTATAAATACCCTTAATAACTTTGTAATAATGGCTGGTGATTGAATGAGACTGGAGCATTTATGTAGACTGAAAAACAGAACACATTTTTTTTTTATTGAAAAAGTACAAAAATATTCTCATCTACAAATGACAAAATAACCTACATAGTGGCATCTAATGCATCAGGATCAGTGCAAGGAAATTCAGAGTACTATATATTAAACTGTGAATATATCTACAACTATGAACAATCTACAAGTCAGCAGTCAGCACAGTTCATTAACGTAAATATCACCAGCTCCCATACAACGGTTGGCATAGAGGTTACTGCGATTCTCAGGATTCTTCACATTAGCCTTGGTTTTAGATGCAGGTGCTGCGATGAAGAGAAAGAAAATACACATAACATTTTAAAATAAAATGGTTGAGAGTTATTTGTTGAGAGAACTAATGTAACAGCATATCAAGGAGTTTTGGATGGCCACTAGAGGATAGCACTGTCATGTTATATAAACAGGCACACCATGGTATAATTTTCATCAGCGATTAATTGTGGAAAGCCATTTTATCTTTTAATATATTAATATATTTAATATATATTATATTTTTATATAATAAATTCAATTTTAACACGTACAAATAGCATAAATAAGAGCAAAACCTGAAATGTGACATGTGAAAAATGTAATTCCAACATCTAGCTTTGACTAGTAGAAAGTATATTTTACCAGGCAAGACTTCTGTTCTCACTAGTAAGATTTCATGTTTTTTTCTCCAGTTCAATTTAAGGGGAGCTACATTTTCAACTCATCCAAAAGGTATTCCATGGTTCTCTATGCCTGTAGAGTCACTGCTCCATAGCCCAGTGCTTACAACCAACAGCTGTGCAATTTCCTGAGCATGCTATATGATTGCGGAAATATGTCTTTTCTAGCTCTGCTGGATTTGAATGCAATTTTACATACAATCATCCCTAATATTTTTAACGCATATACACAAACATGTTTGGTTTTGACAGGTCTCGCCTACTTTAGGTCTTCTTTGGCAGACTGCTTCCAATTTCATAGTGAAAATACAGAGTTTCTGAACATAGAAGACAGCAGTTACGAACATATGGTGTCCCACAAGGCTCTGTTTTAGTGCCCTAGGACACATCATTTGTGATCACTTTTTTCAGTGTAACCAAAGTCAAAGACCTTGGTATTACTCATATAGGTAACATCTCTACAACTGTAGATCACTTTTTATCACTTGAGAAACATATTCACAACTAGACACATGCTAACACTGTAAGATGCTGAGAAATTAAACCTCTAGATTGGTTTACTGTAACATGTCACTGACTGGTTGCCATTGCTGTCTTTCTAAACAGGCTCCAACTAGTTCAGAATGCAGCAGCCAAAGTGTTCACCAGTAAAAGAATGTTTGACTACATTATTCCAGTCTAATTTAGTCTATAATTGACTTTCTTTTAAGTACTGCACTGACTACAAGCTCTTCTTTACAATATTTATAGCCTTTAATATGATAGCCTAGCTCCAGCATATCTTATTAATCTGTAGAAGTATTCTAGCCCATCCAGACAATTTCACTCAGCTCAGGCAGGCTTGCTGCAAATTCCTGGGATCACTTACAGCTCAGTTGGTGGAAGATCATTTCTCTTACATCTTGTTCCTAATCTTTGGAACAGGTTTCCAGAGACCATTAGGAACGTAAGCTCAATAGGTGTTTTTAAATCCAGATTAAAGAAATGCTTTGGCAAAAAAATCAATTTAGCACAATTTTCCTCTTAGACATAGTTGATTGGTTGAAATTTGTTTGGAGGCTAAATTTTGCTTTTTTAGTTAAGACCTGGTCGCAGAAAGGCTAACAGACACTGGAACTCAGTAGTCACCCAAATAGCCCAAATAATTTCTGTAAACAGACATCACCAAAACATGACTCTCAATCCGCTCAAACCACATCCAGGTCTTCATTAAGGTCATGCATACTTATCAATGTTGTTTAGGACACAGTATGTTTTGCTGTGAGCTAGAAAACCAGCACTAGTGTTGTCTGAAATGGCTGCTTGTACTGCCGAAGTTTTGATCATCATGATGTGCTCTAAACCACATCAGCAAGTCTGTGTGACCTTAATGAAGACCTACATGTGGTTTGAGCAGATTGAAAGTGGTGTTTCAGTCATGCATTTTTACAAAAAACTCTTGGGTCTATTTGGGTGACTATTGACTTCTAGTATTTGTTAGTAATGTGAGCCTCATAGCTCCAGTTCTAAACTAAAGAAGCAAAGGACTACAAATATGTGTTGGCTGTTCGTCTACACTGGGGGTAAATCTGGGTACATTTTCTTCTTTGTTTACAATTGTAGTATTATTTCATTCAGACTATGGTATTTTATCGTTCCAATGTTTACTTATAGTCCAGTGTAAAGGACTTTGAGATTGTGTAACTAATATGAAAAATGTTATCAATAAAGATTTCTCTTATTAATGTTATTATTAAGAATAATTGAACCTTGTCAGTAATGGTACTCATGTTTTCTGCTGCTTTTCCTTTCATTGAGCTCTATGACATTCCCTGTGCAAGGAAAACAGAACATTATTCCTCTGTTGGTACAAAACATGAGCATGTGGCAGCCATAAACAATGAAAACTTTAAATATTGAATATTTTTTTTAATTGTTTTCCATTGTGGCTTTGAAAGCCAATGTGAATTAAAAATCATAGAAGATGTTTTATAGGTGAAGACAAATCATTCCATTCTGATGCAAGATTATGGGAAAATAAGCATTTTGTCATAAATTTCTTAAAGGACAAAAATGTTGATTTCATAAAAGATTCAGGCCTAACATTTCAGTTTCAGGCTTTAACCTGACAACCTCCCATTAATTAAAACCTCACTCAGTGGAGCATAAGTTAAACTTTATATGTTTATGACTAAATTAATTTAATGATCATAAATTCATTAAAATGTGCTTTCCTCCTTTTCAGGGAAAAAATATGATGCATTCATGATACAAAAACAGTGCAAATTAATAACATTTCATACTAGTATCACATGAAGCTGTGTATAAGTGTCATAAAATGTTAATCAATATTGCATGAGATGATCATTTTGGATATGTAAGGTGCATTATGCATATGAGAAATAGAAACAATTATATTCGCTATTCAAACAGTCCTAGTTCTCTTATAATACTATAAGAGAACATTCATCGAGCTCTTACAGGGACACTATTTGCCGAAAAAGGTTTTTAAAATGATAAAGCTTTATGTACAGATTTGGTGTATGTAGCTCATATAAGATCATCACTATTAATAATAAAAAAATACACTTATTAGGTCTTCTTTTTGGTAAAATCATCAAAATAAATCCATCAAATTGTCATGAACTAATGTAGGCAATGTGACATCATGGCCATAGTTCACAATACGATCGTTAAACATTCTGTTTAGTTTAAGCTGTCTTAATACATTGCGCTAACTAAACTAAACAGGAGCTTAAAAAACCCTGTTACCTCCAGAATTTCATATCACATACAAAAAAATAATTTGTCATATGGAAATCACAGCCATTTTAATGTTACATTTTAAGCACAAGCAGACTCTATGCTATAGCAATGTCTGCTAACAACATGCTGATCAGCCATAACATTAAAACCGCCTCCTTGTTTCTACGCTCATTGTCCATTTTATCAGCTCCACTTACTCTATAGGAGCACTATGTAGTTCTACAATTACAGACTGTAGTCCATCTGTTTCTCTGCATACTTTGTTAGCCCCCTTTTACCCTGTTCTTCAGTGGTCAGGACCTTCACAGGACTACCACAGAGCAGGTTTTATTTGGGTGGTGGATCATTCTCAGCACAGCAATGACAGTGACGTGGTGGTGGTGCTGAATTTTTAAAACACTGTGTCCACTCACTGTCCACTCCTTGTTGGTTCACCTTATAGCTGTAAACTAGAAAAAGAGTCCGTAAAAGAGACCGTAGCTCATCTGTTGCTGCACAGTTTGTGTTGGTCATCCTCTAGTCCTTCATCAGTGGTGACAGAACACTGCCCACAGGATACTCTTGGCTGGATAGTTTTGGTTGGTGGACTATTCTCAGTCCAGCTGTGACACTGAGTTGTTTAGAAACTCCAGCAGCACTGCTGTGTCTGATCCACTCAGACCAGTGCAACACACAATAACACACCACCACCACGTCAGTGATCCACCACCCAAATAGTACCTGCTCTGTGAGGGTCCATGGGGGTCCTGACCATTGAAGAACAGGGTAAAAGGGGGCTAATAAAGTATGCAGAGAAACAGATGGACTACAGTCTGTAACTGTAGAACTACAAAGTGCACCTATATAGTAAGTGGAGCTGAAAAAAACGGACGGAGTGTTAATGTTAGGGCTGATTCGTGTATATTAAGCATTAACATACGTTACTTTCTTAAATGAGTGTGCTTTGTGTTTAGTATTGTAAACAAATATTGTTTATTTTTTGAATAAATATTATTTCATACATTTAAAGTACACATGGAGCAATTACACACTCATTACTTATTAATGAATAATAATGAATAATAAAACCTTTCTAGTAACGATACTCACGCTTTCTGCTGCTTTGGCCTTCATTGAGCTCTATGGCTTTCCCTGTGCAAGGAAAATAGGTCATTACTTCTGTAACCAAGCACAAGAATGTGGCAGCCATAAACAGTGAAAACCTTAAATGCTGAATATTTTGAATATTGTTTTCTGTTATGGCTGTTAGAGTCAATGCCAATCAGAAATCATAAGGCCTGCTGGTACACTGCGATGCAATCAAAACTCAGAAGATGTTTTAGAAGTAAGGAAAAGTAATGCTATTTTGATGGAAGATTACAGGAAAGCAAACATTTTTGATGTTGAAGTTGACTTCAGTGTTGATGTGGAAAATTTAGGCCTAAAAATTCACTTTCAGGTTTTTCACAACAGATCAACAGATACAGATCGACAGCTACTATTAATTGTTTGATTTTTATTGCTGCTTTTATCTAAATGGTCAAATGATTAAAATGTTTTGCTGCTGGTGAGAATGGATAAAAAAATATTAAATAAAACTCTTACTCTGTTTATACCCGGTGTTTGCATATATTGACTCATTTGATCTGTCTGTAAAAGAGAAAAACGTGGCATATGGTAAAGCAAGCTTCTTCATTTTAAAATGAATCACATACTGTTGTCTCACACCTAAGGTATCACTCACTTTTGCATGTCCGCTGTGTGCAATACAGAGAAACCACAAGCAGAATGAGAATGACAGCTCCTCCTCCTCCTGCTATGAAGGGCCAGTTCTGCGGCCAAGCGCTGTTGTCATGTGACTCTTGTACTGAAAAAAACCGTGACAAATAATGGACAAATGACAGTTAGAAGAAAAGGAATGCAAATCATGCAGAAATGTATACACACTTTATACATCAAGTTACACTCACTATATGCAGAACATAATGTTCCTAGAAAACTGATGAAATATGCACAAATATTTCATTCACCTGTGTGCAAGACAATTTCCTGATAAGCGATCATGCAGTTGATTCCCTCATGCAGCTCACAGCGGTAGAGACCCAGATCAGACTGCTGTACATTACGGAGGAGGATGGAGAAGTTTCCAGATTCTGAGAGTTTGGGGAACGGTTTAATACGTCCACCTCTGTTATTCCAGAACTGTACTTCACCCTGCAGACTGATCTCCACTAGATTATCTGCTGTTATATTCCTCTGACTCCACACTGCTGCTATATCTGCAGTCTTGTTTGATCCGAGTAGGGTCGCTTCAAAGTTACACGGCAGCAGAACATCAGACTGCAGCTCAGTGGTTACGCTGATGCTGCTTAAAATTTTGTTTTTGCATTTACTTTCGCCTGTGGTGGAACAGTAATCAAAGAAGTGTTTTCAGTCAATGGAATGTGATAGACAACTGGATTTAAGTGCAGCATTCAATACAGTAAATCACACTATACTGATCAATTTACTTAAAACTGGGTAGATCTCTCTGGCACATATTTATCATATTTGAAAAACAAGCAGTTTTTCATGCATTGGGGAACTATTCATCTAAAAATGCTAGCGTTTCCTTTGGAGTTCCACATGGTGCCATTTTAGGGCCACTACTTTTCTACAATCATCATACATTTCAATTCCCTCTGAAACCCAAGATAAGTCAAAGCTAATAAATTATGACACAAATCCAAGATACTGATACTTGGTACTAAATGCTAGCAAAACTGATTTGTGAGAAATCAGGCCTTTTTAAAACACAAAATTACTTGTGTAATTTTAGACTGTGATCTCTATTTTAGCCTTCATTTAAATAATGTTGCTAAGGCTACATTCTATCATTCTACTGAGAAATATGGCTAGGCCTTTTTGCATCCCAGAGCAATGAGTAATGCTTTACAGGAATCATATGTAGATGAAGTGTCACATATTCGTTGCATATTTATGAACAATACAGTAACACTGCATTACAGTTACCTATTCATTTTCAAACACTGAATACATGCACTGATTAATGAGTAATGAGTTTATGATGTAATGGATTAAAAACCCAGTGATGCTTAGTGTAAACAAAAATTATCATTCGTTCTTTTTAGGGAAAAAATACAATGTGTTCATTAAAGCTTTGTTCAAAAGGCATTCAAAACAAGAGTAATCACGTCATATATTCCTACACATCACATGAACCTGGGCACAAGATTCAGAACATGCTGAACAATAACATAAATGAAACGAACCACTATATTGACAAGGTTCCACTTTAGCACCACTATTTTTTTAGCTGATGATACACAGTTATACATTTCCATTTCCTCTGAATGTCAAGACAAGGCTAATAAAAAAATGTATATGTTTAAATTAGCCATGTATAATATATATATATATATATATATATATATATATATATATATATATATATATATATATATATATATATATATGTTTTAAAATTGCTGCCATTCAGTACCAAGAATCATTATGTCAGTTTTCAGTTTTGTCATAATAAAATAAACATTTAAATATTGCATAAAGTGATCATGTATTATTTCTTTATTATTCGCTTATTTCTTTGTAAAATCATGAAAATAAATCTGTTGAATTGTCAAATTTGAAAATAGTCAATATGAAGTCAGAGCATTGTATAGTTCAGAATACATTTGTTAAACATTTTAGTTTCTTAATGACTCACATATCGAGCTCATGAAAAACCCTGTTAGTTCCAGAATCTGCTATCATCACATACAAAAAACTACAAATTGAAAGTAAACATGTATATGTATGTACATATATATATATATATATATATATATATATATATATATGAAATGTATGCATGTATATATATGAGTATATATGAAGCATCAGTTCATTACATTACACACTCTTTACTTATTAATGAATTATGAATTATGATTATGCACTTGCAGTGATACAGTACTGTTCATGAGTATGCTGTGTGCTTCATGCACATGTAGTTACTGTAAAGCTGTGCTGTTCTGCCTCCTTTAGTGGGCCAAAGGGAACAATACATCACCTACGACTACAGAATACAGCAGCACTGATCCTAACAAAAAAAGTTTCACTCATTTCAATCTTTGGTTATCTGACTAACTTTTAAACTTACTATTTCACTGTAAAGCTTGTTGAGCTGCTACTTGTATGAACCGTGCTCAGTAAAAAAGTTATTATAATTAGTATTATTAAGCTTTTAACTTTATCTGTACTGAAACCAAACCAAGACCTTTTATTTTCACTGCAGTAAAACTACTGCAAAAAGGGAAATAAAAAAACAAAGAATATAAAGAGTTGTCAGTAATGTTATTTCTATCACTCTTGCTTGTTCACACTGTCACACTCTCACTATAAAATGAAGCTTCTTCAAATTCTTGAACTATTTGGCTCTTCACCTAGCAAGCTAATGCTAGTTTTAGCCTAACCCCTTTTTTTTGCTTCATATAAACCCAAAGTTAGCGAGATTGAGTTTGGTCAGCTAAAGTTAAACAAACATTATTCTAACAGTTATGCGACCATGTGAGGATGGCAAATGTACAATCTGGAGTTTTTACTCAGATCTGAGATCAAAATGCTACAATAACTACCAAGAAATGAATTTAGATAGAATTTCTAGCTTCTATACACTTAAAAAAAAAGATGGTTCTCAGGTTCTTTAGTAAAGGCAATGTGAACCTTGCGTTCTATAGAATCATTTGCATGCTTAAATGGTTCTTGGCATGGTAAAATGGTTCTTCAGACTGATGAAGAATGTGTTGTATATGGTTCTATATAGAACCTTTTTGAAAATAGGTCTATATAGCAGCAAAAAGGGTTTTGCTATTGTTATGATGTCAAGCTTGTCAATGCTTTTTGGTGCTATACAGAACCATTTGTTAAAAAAAAAAAAAGGTTCCATATAGAACCATATAAAACACATTCTCCATCAGTCTGACGAACGATTTCACTTCGCAAAGAATCTTTTAGGCATGCAAACAGTTCAATATAGAACTGTTGGTTTTAAATACAACCATTGCTTTTGGAACCATCTTTTTGAAGTGTGTAGAATAAAATAACTTACATTTGTTACATTATCAACTGTAATTTATCAATGAATTAAAAAATAACACTTCCAAAACACATCAATCGAAATTAAAACAACAACTTACCACTTATGCATAAAACTTGCCACACAGAGAGCCACAAAGTCCAACACTCAATGCTGTAAAATATCATTTTCTTCATGTTTCAGACTGTGAAATTAAAGATCGTTCACTGTGCAGTTCACAGAACGCTCAGGTGGACCTGAGCGCAGGTCTTTACCACCACCAAATGAAACCACAACTACACGAACCACTTCCTGAAAGTTTTATCTGCATGTGTGCTTTTCTAATGATGTGCATGTGAACGTGTGTTTTTCTCGTTTTGCACACTCAACTTTGCAGAGTCTTGTGTCTTTCGAGTTTACTGAACTGCACAATAATAAAGTACATGAATGAACCTTTGCTGTTTAAAATGCATTTTATTTATTGTCTGTGCGGAGCGAGAGCTGGACGCCCTCATCATATTTAGATTTGTTGTGGGTGGGGAATATATGACTAACACCAAGTGGAAAGTTGGCATAATGTGGTCATGTGCTTACAAAGAAGAAAAGAAAGAAGATGCAGTAAAGGAAAGCAGGGGTGTCACTACAGTCTTATGGATAGGGGGGCCAGGTATATACTAGGGGGGTCTGGGGGCATGGTCCCCCAGGAGAATTTTTTAATGGCCTCAAAATGTCTGTTCATTATGAACGTTTAGAGTAGTAACAGCCAGAAAATGTAGTGCTATTTGGTCCAATTAGCACACAGTAGATGTCTTTTTGTAGCTTACATTAATCACAGAGCTAATATGGCTTAAACACTACATTCATACACTTACAGCCAGCACAGATCAAGCACTGTACTGAAGTCAAGCAATGCTCTCTCCTCTCTCTAGATAAGCTGCAAAGTCCAAAATATATTATTCAGTATTAATTGTAACTGAAAGCTCTTCCACGCTTTCTTCTTTATCATTTATTACACAATTTATTAAATTCAGATTTATAAGAACTCATGAAAATAATGAGAGATCAATCATTTTAATTTTTTAACTGGTTTAAATCATCGGACTGGCCTTTGAGGTAGCTGCCACCTCTTAATTTCGGTTTAGATGACTGTGTGTGTTTGATAGACGATTTCATCTGCTAAACAATTTGGGGTCTCCTTTATCGTATTTTTCATTTTATAATCCTCCAAATGTTTCAGTGGGTGACAGGTCTGGACTGCAGGCAGGCCAGTTTAGCATCCGCACTCTTTTAATACGGAGCAATGCTGCTGTAATACGTGCAGAATGTGGTTTGACATTGTCTTGCTGAAATAATCAAGGCCTTCCCTGAAAAAGACGTTGTCTGCATGGCAGCATATGTTTCCAAAACATGTATATCATTTAGCATTAAGTAATGCCTTCACAGATGTGCCAGTCACCCATACCATGTGCATTAATACCATACCATCATGAATACTGGCTTTTGAACTGTGCTGTAATGATGGAGGTGAGGAGGTGGGATGCAAGTGTGGGTTGCTTTTATTCCAGAATCCAGAAAGTCCATAATGAAACAAAACTGACCAACAAGATAAAAGAAAACAGTAACATCCACAATGCAAGACAAGGAGACTGAACAAACACAGGGGTATAAATATTCTGAGAGGAAACAAGAAACACCTGGGACTAATGAGGGGGTGGAGCTACAGGCAGGTGGAGCAGGACCAGGGAGGAGATACAGAATAAAACTGTTACAGAACCCCCCCTCCTAACGCGCAGCTCTCGAAGCATAAATAACAAAAGCCATCCAATGTGGGAGCCAGGTAGGAGGACGGACCGGGAAAACATGTAGGAACATAAACAGGAAACTAGACAAGGGACAGGACAGTCCGGGACCATATAAACTGTGCAGGGGACTGGACAAGAGATTGAACTACAAACAGGGACAGAGACCACAACAGTAACAGGGACTGGGACAAGGATATTAACAGGAACAGGGACAGGCACAAATACAGAAATGGGCACAAAAACAAACACCAACAGACACAGGTACTCTAACAGAAACAGGAACTGAAACAAAACCTGGGGTAAATAACTGGACAGACACAGGGGAAAACAGACTGCAAGTTCTCAGGCTGGGCAGGAAACTGCAAGGGTGGCCAGGCAGGGAACTGAAAGAGCGGCCAGGGTACAGAAACAAAAACAGAAGGCACCCAGAGCACAGGAGCAGCAACAGGGGGCGCCCGGAGCACAGGAACTCTGGAAGCTGACACTGAAACATGGCATGGAGCAGGAACCTGACACACATGGGTACACAGATCAGGAGGCACAGAGGCCACAGGCAGGTCTGGAAATATGGAGGCTACAGGTAGGTCAGAGAACCCAGTGGCAACGTCCTTGGGTGCAGGCTGGGCCACACAGACGTGCTAGGGTGCAGGAAAAGACAAGTCCATAATGAAACAAAACCTGCCAACAAGATAAAAGAAAACAAACAACAGAGTAACATCCACAATGCAAGACAAAGAGACTGAACAAACAAAGGGGTATAAATACTCTGAGGGGAAACAAGAAACAGCTGGGGCTAATGAGGGGGTGGAGCTACAGGCAGGTGGAGCAGATACCAAGGGGGCAGGACCAGGGAGGAGATACAGAACAAAACAACAAAAGTACATGGCACAAGAAAAAGACACATGGCACAAGAAAAAAGGTACATGGCTACAACAGAGGGGAAAAAAACAGACACACTCTGGAGCAAGGAGGAAACTGTGACACATGTACTGATAACAAGCTGAGTGGTCTTTAGTCCAGAAGACACAGTGTCCATGAATTCCAAAAACAAATTAAAATTTTGATTCATCGGACCACAGGACACATCTCCACTTCCCTGCAGTCTATTTTAAATGAGCTCAGGCCCAGAGAAGGTGGCAGCATTTCTGGATCCTGCTTATATATCTTTTCTTCTTTGCATTTAAGAGTATTAACTTGCATTTGTGGATGCAGCGACAAACTGTTTTCACAGACAGTGTTTTTCAGAAGTCCATGCAGTTATTTCCACTACAGAATCATGTCTGTTTTTAATGCAGTGCCATCTGAGGGCCCGAAGATCACAGCCAGCAAATACTGTTTTTTGGCCTTGTCCCTTGCATACAGAGATTTCTCCAGATTCTCTGAATCTTTTAATGATATTATGTACTGTAGATGATGAAAAGCTATTTTATGTTGAGAAACATTATTCTTGAATTGCTGCACTATTTGATTGAACAGTCTTTCACAGAGTGATGAACCTTCTTTACTTCTGAAAGCCTCTCTGAGACCACCAGGTGGTTTTTCCAACTTTTTTGGAACGTGTTATTGCCATCAAATTCAAAATGGGCATATATTTTTAAAAAACAATAAAATTTCTCAGTTTCAACAATTGCTATATTGTCTTTGAAGCATTTTCAATGAAATACAGGGTTTAAATGATTTGCACATTATTGCATTTTGTTTTTATTTACATTTTTCACAGCGTCCCAACTTTTTGGGAAATGGGGTTGTAAAATGGAATTATGATCAGCATAATATTACCTTTTCACTGACACTAACTTACTGTAAACAACTATATATGACAAAAACTAATTGTTTCCAAATACTGAAGAGAAATATAGAAACAAGGAAGTCATTTTAGTGAGCTTTTAGCCAAAATCCTGTGTTCAGCTTCAGTGGTTGCTGACTGATGTTACTTTGCAGAGCGAGTAAAACCAGAGCCCCTCCCCCAGGTCTGATGTGGCTTATGGCTAACTAAAGCCCCCCAAAACTGGCCTAGCGATGCCCCCACAGGAAAGTATATAAGGGGTTCATTTAGAAACTCATTACAAATATTTACTTCTTACTTTCATTTCAGTTCAGAACTTTTAATGTTGTTCTGTAATCTTCTTACATGGCAAGGTAATATTTAAAGGGCCTAGAGCCTGCTTTTATTATTCTAGTGTTGACCCTCAGGGTCCATTTATCATGCTTAAGTGTTTTTATGTGGTTCATAATTCTTTTTTCATGACCATTGTCCAACCTCTGCTTTTCCTCTAGAGTTAAACAGAATTCTAGAATTGTGTCTTCGGAACTGATTTATGTGAATGAGCTCTGTTCTGATTGGCTGCCCTGTATTGTGTCTCATTTAAAAAGCATTCAGAGCTTCACACTCCTTATAACTTCAGGGCAAATGGGTGGAGCTAAATTGCTGTCGGCTGAATATGCACATATATGTTAAAGGTATTGGTATTTGTGACATCACAGAAACAGTGCAGTTGAAACGGGCTAGTTATGCAGCCTAGTTTCCATGAATTATAGAATGTATGGACTAAGCAGTGAACAAACTTTAACAGTGTTTACGTAGTACATCAAAGACATTTATTTAAGAAAGGAAAAAAGGAAAATTCGGTTTTCTGTAATATGGGCCCTTGAATGCAGTCTTTGTAAATTTGACCAAAAAAAAAAATCCAATGCATAATGCATTCATGTTAACTAGGAACTGGAAATTTTTTCAACTCGGAATCTCACAACTTCAGCTGTTCAAGTTTGGAAAAAAATAGTAATCTAGCACTTATTTTGCTGCTGTGTGTGAATAAAACCTCTTGAAAAGCATTTACAATAGAATTAAAGAGTTGTTTAGTTAGTGCTTCATTTATTTTAAAAGTGGATGTAGGCTGTGGCATACCGTATGCAAACGTTTTGGCACCCCTGACCAAATTACATAGTGTAACGTGTTCAAGAAATGCTGTTGCATGATGGGTTTTGGTTTTTTGTTCTTCAGCATATATTCACAAGGTTATTCTGCCAAGGACTCTTATTCTGGAGGGGGGGGCTAGGTCTGCCCCAGGGAGATTTGTGTGTGTGAGCAGAAAAGTGAACTGTTAATAAAAAGAAAATGCTTATGTACAGCATGGCTGTGGCCAACATCAGCTGGAGAATAAAGCACCACAACTTGTTTGAAAGCTGTTTCACTTCTAATAGTGGTGAATGCTACAATATTTTGTTGATTTTTAAAATGAAAAGAAGTAAACACAATCTCTGCAGCACGCTATTTTGAAAAAACAAGATTTTCTGCAAATGTTCATACATTTTCTTTGTCTTCAATTAACTTAACTATTAAAAAAAGAAAAAAATTAAATAGTAATGTGGCATATGAAAATGCTTGGAAACACTACTTAGTGACACCCCTTTGGGCAGATATCACAGCTTGTAAATGGTTTTGGTAGCCAGCTAGGAGTCTATTTTATTAT